GGAGGACAGGCCAGGCAGCCGGGGGGGGGGGGTGGCGGGGGGAGTGGCAACAGTGAGGACTCAGGGACAGAGGGGTACCCGGGCCTCCCACTCCAGGCCACATCCAGGGAGGCACTCGGTCGTCGTGGCCACCCTGCCCAGTCTGCCCTGAGGCAGCGAGTGCCAGGGCATCACTCTACAGCAGACGACTAGGCACTGGGGGGGGTGGCGGGGGGAGTGGCAACAGTGAGGACTCAGGGACAGAGGGGTACCCGGGCCTCCCACTCCAGGCCACATCCAGGGAGGCACTCGGTCGTCGTGGCCACCCTGCCCAGTCTGCCCTGAGGCAGCGAGTGCCAGGGCATCACTCTACAGCAGACGACTAGGCACTGGCCCAGGGCCACTCTTGGTGATGCAACGTAGTGACCTAAAGCCAGAGCCCAGGCTTTGTGGCCTCTGCAGGCCGAGAAGTGGGTGTGGCCCCAGCACGGTCAGAAGTCAGGGGGCTGCAGAGCCACAGCCTCCCCGGGAGGTGGAGGAGAAGGGATGTCGCCCTGAGGGGGTGATGGGCTGGGGGAGGAGCCTCAGGGGACACAGCCACCTTGCTGTGGTGACCCCTGCCCCACCTAGTGATTCCTGTGCGGCCCCTTGTCTGACAAGCTCTCTTTCTTTGTTTTCCAGAGCCTTCTAGGACCTCGGGCTGTAACCTGATCCCTTCTCCCCCTAAGTTCCCCATGCCATCAGATTCCAGCAACAGCTCCTGGGGGTCCACAGACTTGCAGTTCAGGAGGCGTAGGCTCAGAGGCCTAGGCAGCTTGAGGCCTGGCCTGGGTCAGGGGCCTGGCCTGGGTCAGGGGCTAGCTGCGGTGACAGCTCTGAGAACCCTGGAGATGACCTCGGGCCCAAACCCTCCAGCCCAAGGATGTCCAGGCCCAAAGCCAGCCCCAGAGCCAGCAGCCGGACCCCCAGGCCTCCGGTGCATGCCGCACCTGAACCCTATCACTCCAGCCCAATCCCACCCCTAGTGTAAACCCCCACCCACTGCCAAGCTGGCCTGGACTGTGGGTCAAGGAGCCCCGGGTGGTGGTGGGAGCCCCATGTGAACTCTGGCCTTATGGAACCCAGAGCATCTTGATGAGTGTGTTGGGGGGTGGGAAATAGGCTTGACATAAGAGGGACCCTTCTTGGTGGAGGGGAGTGGGGGGTTGGGGTTTCCCGGGGTGGGCACAAGGAAGAGCCCAGGATAGAGGAGCCCAGTTCCCCAAGGCTGGTCGCACTGCCCACCCCTTCCATGGGGCCTGGCCTTCCCAGGAGGACTGCTCGGAGCGGCGGGCCCAGGCTGAGGTGGCCGAGGTGCAGCCAGCACCCCCCAACCCTGGGGGGTTTGTGCGGGTCCTTGCCCACGCAGGGACCGGGCAGCCAGTGCCCCTCCCTTGGGGCAGGGCACCCCGAAACCAAGCGAATCCTTTTACGGACTCTCAGGTGTACATAAATGCGGTTTACTTCGTAGGCGACGTTGGTTCAATAAATTGTGCAGATGGCACTGCTGGCCTCCCACGACTTTCTCCCAGCGCGGCCCCTCGGCCCTGGGCGCCCACCCGTGCTGCCCTCCGCCCCTACACCCGAGCGTTCGGTTCCGCGGTGACCGGCGGGCAGGGGAGGAAGCGGAAGCCGTATCTGCTCTCAGCCGTGCTCTGCACCGACAGCGCTACCATCGGGCAGCCCCCGTCCACGCTCTTCCGGCACACCTGGGGGGGGGGGCGAGGCCTGAGCAGCGCAGGGGCGGGGCGGGAGGGGCGCAGGGGCGGGGCGCGCGGGGGAGCCCGCGGGGGGGGGGGGGGGGGGGGGGGGGGGGACTGGGCCCGCGCGCGCTCACCTGGACCCTGTGCTCCTTCCTAGCGCCGCAGTCCTCCAGGCACAGCCCGGCCTCTGCGAGGGACAGTGACGGGGCCGGGTCGGGCCGGACTCCACACCCCCTGCCGCCCGCCTGCCCTCCGCGTCCCTGGGCGCTCACCGGGCAAGGCGGGCAGGCGCCCCAGCGCGCGGGTCTCGGCGGCCTGGGGCGGCGCGGGCACCTCTCGCGGGCGGGGGAGCTTGCTGGTGCTCCGGGGCCGCAAGAGGCCCTGCGTCCTGGGGGGCAGGAGAGTCTGAGGCCCGGAGCCGCCCCGGGAAGGGCAGTCCGGGAAGGGCAGCGACCTGGGGAGGCGGGGAGGCGGGGGTGGTGCTGCAGGGCACGCGGCGTGGAGCGCTCTTGAATTCCTGGGGGGCAGGCCTGGCCGGGGCGGGACCTGGGGAGGCGGGTGCGGGTCCTGCACGGGAACCAGTGTGGAGAGCAGCCCCCGAGGGGACTGGACCTGAGGCAAGGGAATGGTCCTTAGCAGGGAGTCTGGGGGGAAGGTTTTTGCAGGGCTGGGGCCTGGGAGGGATTGGAGAGAGGGACCCGCAGTGCCCACCCGGGCCTCCAGCGTCTGGCTTGGGCCCCCCACACCCTGCCAGCGCGCGTGTGTTGAGGCCGGCGCCTCTGCTCCCAGGGATCGGCCCCAAGCCCGGCCTCGGAGAGCGGGAAGCGGTCTATGGACAAGTCGGTGTTGTCAGTGAAGATCCTCGAGACGGGGGTCACGCAGTGGCGGGCTGGGTGCTCGCTCAGGACCTGCGGGGCCAGCCGGGAGGGGCACAGCGGTCACCCCCAGCCAGCCGGGCTCTCCACCCACCACATCCCTGGCTAAGACGAGCACTGACCTCGCCTTTGGGGTTCAGGAGGAGAGTCACACATCCCTGGCTGGAGTGGAAGTAGACAGGCTCTCGGCCCATGGATGAAGGTGACTGCTTCTTGGTGCTGCCAGGCCCCTCTCCCCAAACCTGGTGGACAGAGCAGGGCGCGGGGTGAGGGGTGGGGGGGGCCGGAGCAGAGGCCAGGAGGGTTCGCGGGGAGCGGGGCGCACCGTAACGTGGTGCCGGGGCGCCAGCAGCGTGCCAGGCGGGAAGCGGTACATGCACACGGGGAAGCCGTGCAGGAGCTGCTGCAGCATGAGGCCACTCAGGTCAGCAGTCTCCTCTAGCGACTGGTTGAGGACGCGCACAAACCTCTCCTTGCGGCTCACGGCCACGATTTTCAGGCAGGAGCTAGGCGGAGCAGGGACAGTAGAGGCACCGCAGAGGCTTGGGCACCCCCCGCCCACGTCACCCCCTTACCTCCCATGGAGGCGGTGTCTGGGATGCCCGTGCTCTGAATCTACACAGGACTCCTTTGTCTGGACTGTCTTACTAGGTCGGTTCCAGGGACCCACGGAGAGACCTGTGAGAAACGGAAAGGGGACCTCCATATGGAGCGTCCTCTGGGGACATCTAATGCCAGGTCAGACTGACCTGCAAGGCCCTGAGGACGCATGTGGGAGAGGAACAGCTCCAAGGCTCAGACCCAGAGCAGGAGGGACGGCCCTGGAGGCTGAGAGAAGAGAGGGACAGCTCCAAGTACTGAGGCAGGGGTGGGAGGAAATGGGCCAGAGTGCAGCAGAGGCAGCACCCATCATCCAAGGCCACCCTAACCCCTAGGGATGAGGCAGGGGAGGCCCCAGTGGCCTTGTGCCGAGCTGTTGTGAAGACCAAGCTGCTGGAGAAGGTTGTTAAGGGCTCTGGGCAGAGATCCCAGCCTCACAGTGGGGGTTGGGGGGAGCAACCAGGGGAGACCCGCTGTACCCCACCTTCAGGTTGTGCCTGTGTTTCCCTGCTGAACCTCCTCCAGTGTGGTTCTGTTGGCTCAGAACTGTGGCCTGGAGTGCAGGGTGGGTGGCCCATCACCTTGTGCATGCGATAAGGCACAGCCAGCCGGCCACTGCTGGAGTCGGAGCCTGTGCCCCCCGAGCTGCTGGTGCCCCCAAAGGGCAGGGAACTCCACTCCACACTCTTGAGACGCTGTTCCGTGTGCTCTCCGTGCAGCTCTGGGCCCCACTGGTCCCACAGCGGGGCCTCCGGGGACGGCAGGGGCCGGGGGTGCCTGCAGGCCACAGTCTGCTGATCTGCTTGCTGCCTGCTGGGTTTGGCTTCTGGCCTCCAGCCGTGCCCCCATGGAACCTCCCCAAGGTGGGTGGGGTACCCCGAGTTGTGGTTCCAGTCCCTGGGACCCAGCCTGGGGAAAAGGCTCATAGATGGACTGTGATGGCTCAGGATCCCTTTCCCTTCCCCCTTCAGCTCATCCTGTAGATCAGAGAATTGACCTTGGAAGGTGTAAGCGACTTGTCCGGGGACACTAAGGGTAGCTCTCGGACCCTGGCGTACACATGCCAAGGAACGCCCTCTCCTCCCTTCACCCCTGCAGGAGTCCCGGACCAGCACGGTTACTTTTGATCTGAGTTGGACTCGATGTTGCTGAGGAGGTTGGGATACCGCTGGGCAATGCTGTTCCAGTCTACGTCCTCCAGCCGGAAACCCTGGCCACGAAGCAACAGGAATGTGGCCCTCCGCTCCCACAGGGCCACAGAGCCACGAAAGCACATGGGGGCCTTGCTTACCTCCTTAGTAGAGGGGACCTGATCGTTCTCAGAGAGGTCACTGGCATCCATCAGAGTTTCTGCAGTTACCACCTACAGAAGGGGCGTGGAGGCCAGCGGGCTGGGGGAAAGGGCCTCTCCTCTCTGACCTCACCAGCGCCCGAGGCACACATCTGCTGTGTGAACCAGGGGGGTCCTCCCTGCCCTCTACCATGGTCCTGGGGGGACAGGCTTCCCAGGGAGGCCAGGGCCCCCCCGGCAGAAGCACCAGCCTGGAGGGGACACGCTGTCCATCCAAGGGAAGTCCGAGGAGGGCTGGGGAGGGCACGGGAGGCAGGAGGGCGGGCCGAGCGGGGCTTACCTCCACACTGCCCGTGGAAGATCGCAGCACGCGGCCCACCCAGGACGAGCGGGCCAGCTGCAGGAGGCAGGACCTCTGGAAGGCCCCCAGCTCCGCCTCCAGACGCTGCATGGCGTTCAGGGCCTGTTGCAGCCGCTCCTCCAGCTGGGACTTCTGCTCTAGGACGGTGCGCACGTGGGGCAGGGCCTTCTCCCCACCCCTGAGGCCAACCCCTACCTGGCCCGTGATTCTCACCCCAGCTTGGCCCCCTGCCCATCTCCTGATCCCACCTGCTCCTCACCAGCTGGGCCTGTTCCTTCTGCTCTTTCAACTCCAGAGTCAGCTTCTGGACCTGGCTCTGCAGGGACTTCTCCTGATTGCGTGAGCTCCTGGGAGGAAGCGGCCATCTCAGCAGCCCCCACCTCAAGGTCAGTAGCCAAGGAAGGGAGAAGGAGGGACTCTCTTCGCTGACATTGGGGGCCTAAGGGCACAGAGTCCCGCTGGGCCAGGCCAGGCTCTGAGAGGTCTGGGTCGTAGGTCGGCTCTAGGTTCAGCGACCGTCGACACATTTAGAATTAGGGTCTGGGCAGGTTTACAGTATATTCACTTTTTCAGGGTCAGGTAGAGATAAGAGCTAGAGGCAAAAGTCAGGGTAATTATCAGGTGGGAGTGTTGGTCAGCCCCAGTGGTTGGGGATGAGGTCAAACAAAAACCCGTTCAGGCAAGGACAGAGGCTGGGTTGAGCTGAAGGGCTGGCACTTTGCTGCTCACCTCTCAGCTGGAAGTCCAGCCACCTCATACAGGATGTGGCAATGCCGGGCATCCTGGCGGTTATGGATGGTCCACCGCAGAGCCTGGATCTCCAGTTCCCGTTGACCCCACAACAGCCGCAGGGTGCGGGGGTCCAGGGACTCAGGGGCCAACCTGCAATGCCAGCACCCTTGTCACTTGATCAGGCCCTGACCTCGGGCTGACCATCCCTCCCTCTCTTCCTTACTGCTGGTGGACGGAGGAGACCACGGGCGTGGAGCTGGGCTTGGTGTCCTGTAGGCATGTAGGAGCCACTGGGTCTCTGGGTGTGCCAACTGGAGGCTCTGGGTGCCCACTGGCCGGCTCTCGATCCACCAGAGATAAGGGAGCCTCTTTCTCGGCTTTTTCAGCCTCTTGGCGAGGCCCAGGGACCATTCTTGATGTTCCTGAGGGAGCTGAGATGGGCAGTGTGGCTGTGATCCCTGTGTCCCATGTGTAGGTACCGCATGGGGCTCTCCTTCCATGGCCACAAGTGTGTGTCTGTGTCTGACAGCCCTAGCCAGTACCACTCCAAAAACACCCTTGTGTGTGTGTGTGTGTGTGTGTGTGTGTGTGTGTGTGTGCGCGCGCACACACATGCACGCCCCACAGGACACCAGATTGCCAGCCACATGTGCGTCCATATCTGTGTGTTTCTGACCAGGACAAGGCAGCAGATCCCCCCCAGCAACACGTCACCGAGGTATTTGCACATTTCCTGTTGTCTCCCTGTCACCCTTGCTCTCTAGGACCTGACGTCCTGCCTCTCAGCCTAAACCAAGGGTCCCTAGAGGTGCTAATCCTTTGCCTGTGATGCCCCCAGACCCAGGGGCTTACCCTCAACACTCACCTGAGGCCTGAAATCCAAGCAGGCCTAGGGAAAGAAAGGCTTTACAGTGTTGCCATGGATACCAGCACCAAAAGGGGAGGGGCTGTTTGTTACCAGCAGCTTCCAGGGAGACCCCAAGCCAGGGCCCTGAGTGAACCCTGGGCCCACCTCCAGGTCCAGCCTGAAGGAGACGCGGTAAGAGGCTGGGTTGCTGGCCAGCGAGCCTCAGGAGGCCCAGGAACCACAGAGTGGCCAGCCAGGCCTCCAGGGCCACACACTCAGTGTACCAGCCCAGCCTGACTTTCTGACTGTGGCACTCGGTGGGTACTGGGGGGATTGCTGCCCTGTGTATGGGGGTTTTCTGAACTCTAACCAGCAGTCAGCCCCTCCTGAGTGCTTCCCACAGTCTCTTTGCCCTCAGAGGCTGATGCCCACCTACCTGACCCCCAAGCGAGAAGCCTCTCCTGCCCCAGTCCATCTCCACCACCTGGGTCATCTTAGGGAGCCCTGGGGACACTTTCATAACCATGACAACCGTTCCCTGTGCCCCACAACAAAAACAAAGCACCAGATCTGACACACAGACCAATGCCCTCCAGCCTTCACCCCTGACCCCACTTTCTTTCATTCATTCATCTTTCATTCATTATGACTCTCGACTTCACATTTTTGTAGGACTTCCCGTGCTGGGGAGCATACAGGCTGGTGAGAGGACCCCCATGGCAGACCTGGTCCACAGACAGCACTGAGGCTGTGAGGCACCCTGGCTGCTGAGCTGGCTTGGGCTCTACCAGGCCGGAGTGTGCCCGCGTACGTCCACCCTCGAGGGGGCACAGGGACCCACTGGGGGCAGGCAGGGGTGGGGGAAAAGAGCCCAGGGTCTATGTCTTGCTTTGTTCCCAGCAACTTCAAGGCGACCTTCTCCCCACACCAGGACTGCCAGCCTGGCTGCAGCGGCCCGCCAGCTCCACCTCCCTCCCACGGGGGCTCACGGCTCCCCGACCCCTGTGCGTCCCCCTGAGGGAGCGGGGTCGGTGGGGCCCTGGCCTTGGGGTCCCGCTGCCCCTCTTGGGCGCAGAAGCTGCGGGGTCCCAGGCCGGTGCTCCCTCTCTAGGTAAGAGACTCATCAGAATCGGAGGCTTCTGAGGAGGTCGGCCCAGGAGCGGAGCCGGACACCTGTCCCACGCACCGCCTGCGGGCCCAGGACGCGCTTCCGCGTAGTTCGCAGTCTTCAAGCGTGCGTGGACCAGGCTCGGCCCACCCCTCCTCGCCGCCGAGCTCCGCCCACACCTGGGCGCCGCTGGGGGCGGGGCGGGCGGGGAGCCAATGGGAGGGGCGGGGCGCAGAAGAGGTAACCAATGGGCGTGGGCGCAGAGCGGACGGGGCGACGGTGGGAGCCAATGGGGACGTTCGGGGCGGGGCGCTCGGGCCGCAGGCCAATGGAGCGGCGGGCCGAGGCTCGCCCGCCGCGCTGGAGGCGGCAGGTTGCGGCGGCGGCGCCGGGCGCCGGAAAGCAGCCAGTTCGAGCCTGGGTCCCGGAGGCCGGCGAGCGCCCAGGTGAGGAGCGCCGGGCCCCAGATCCTCCTGAGTGCGGGCCACGGCCCCGGGCTGCGACTCCGACGGAGGGGCGAGGGCTGGGCTGTCGCGGGGGACCCCGCCGCACCTGCAGCGGCCCCCGTCGCAGAGACTGCGAGCGCGGCGGCTGGCGGGAGCGGGAAGGGGGCTGCCCGCGCCGGCAGGGACCGCCCAGGCGCGGTTCTGTGGCTCCGGAGGGCCGAGGTCTGCGTCGCAGGCGAGGGGGCGTTCCCATGGCAGCGGGAAGCCGTGTTTTCCTGAGGGCGCCCTTGGGTGCCTGAGGACGGCGTCCCGCGGGAGGGGCAGTGCCCTTCGAGCCAGGTGACTGGGGAGGCAGGAAGTCCTGGATCTGGTTAATGATTGGCTTCGTTCCGGGACTGGGGAGAGTCGAGAGGAGGCTGGGCCGTGGAGGAGCCTCACAGTGGCCCTGGGGGGCGGACTGGTCCCCCCTGCGGGGGGCGGGAGGGCGGTCTTGACTACTACCCCAAGAATGTGTGGCCTACGGGTGGGGCTGGGCACAGGAGAGCAGGGCTGACGTCAGGGGGGCAGTAGCCCTGAGCCAGTTCTGAGGGAAGAGAGGAGGGCCAAGCCAGACCTGAGGACCTGACCCTGTGGCCTTCATCCTCCGTGCAGGACAGGGATGCTCTCAGGACTAGCAGCCATGGAGCTGAAGGTGTGGGTGGACGGCATACAGCGCGTGGTCTGTGGGGTCTCAGAGCAGACCACCTGTCAGGAAGTGGTCATCGCGCTGGCCCAAGCAATAGGTGAGTCCTTTCGGGCACAGATGGCCCAACAGGTGCGCCTGAGGTTTGGCCTGCTCCTATGGCCCCTTTCCCCACCAAGGGGGTGGGTGGGACCGATTGCTGATCCCTATTGCTCTCCCCCAACTTCTCAAGCCAGGTGGATGGAGAGTGGGGGGGATCTAGGCTGATCCCTCTCCTCCTACCCCAGGCCAGACGGGCCGCTTTGTGCTCGTGCAGCGTCTCAGGGAGAAGGAACGGCAGCTGCTGCCCCAGGAGTGTCCAGTGGGTGCCCAGGCTACCTGTGGACAGCTTGCCAGTGATGTCCAGTTTGTCCTGAGGCGGACAGGGCCCAGCCTCGCTGGAAGGCCCTCCTCAGACAGCTGCCCACCTCCCGAACGCTGCCCAGTCCGGGCCAGCCTCCCCCCGAAGCCACGACCAGCCCTGGGCCACGAGCCCCGCAAAGCACTGACCTTCAGTCTTGGGTGCCCTGGGCTGGCCCCCATCCCTGCGCTGCCGGAGGCTGTGGCCCCCATAGCACCAATGCCAGGCTCCTGTGCAGACCTGCAGGGCCTGGAGCGAAGGGTGCAGAGGAACGCATTGGAGCTGGGTCAGGAGGCCTTCTGGGAGCAGGAGCTCCGGCGGGAGCAGGTGCGGGAGCGTGAGGGGCAGGCACGCCTGCAAGCCCTGAGCGCCGCCACTGCCGAGCATGCGGCCCGGCTGCAGGCCCTGGACGCCCAGGCCCGTGCCCTGGAGGCTGAACTACATCTGGCCACAGAGGCCCCTGGGCCCCCCTCACCCACAGCCTCTGCAACTGAACGCCTGCGCCAGGACCTGGCTGCCCAGGAGCGACAGAGTGCAGAGGTGCAAGGCAGCCTGGCCCTGGTCAGCCGGGCTCTGGAGGCTGCTGAGCGTGCTCTGCAGGTAAGCCCCCCAGGCCCCCGAGCCCCTGCTGACATCCCCAGTGTGGGCAGATTGGGGGTGTCAGGGTCTGACTAGGGGGAGCACTAGGCCATGGAGCCCTGTGGCTGTGTCCTCTGAGCATCCCCTGTGCCCCAGGCCCAGGCCCAGGAGCTAGAGGAGCTGAACCGGGAGCTTCGCCAGTGTAACCTGCAGCAGTTCATCCAGCAGACGGGGGCTGCCCCGCCACCACCCCCACGGCCAGACGGGCCCCCCCCCACCACACAGGTCAGAGTGGTTTTGGAGGAAGGCCAGGGGGGAGGGGGGAGGCTGGGCCCAGCCCTAAGCTGAACTGCTCTTCCCATAGGATCTTCTTCTGCCTCTGACCAGAGAAGAGTCTTTCGCAAGAACCTCCCAGAGTCCTGCTCTGATGTCCAGCCTGAGCCCAGAGAGTATGTCTGTCCCCTGAAATCTGGGTGGGTCGGGCTCTCCTGTGGCCTCCTCAGTCCCTCAGCCTGTGTCCTCCCCACAGTTGTCCCCATGAGGCAGAACTCCTGGAGGTAGCAGTTCTTGCCCCAGAATGGACGTCCGCTGCCAGCCCAGCCCTGGGCTCCAATGACACGAGCGAGGGCGCCAAGGCTGGCCCGACTTGGACAACAGCGGCGTCAGGGGATCCAGAGGGTTCATTTCCCCATGCACTGGGAAGCCCTGGTGCCCTGGGCCTGAGACAGAATGCCTCAGAGCCCTGGGGTTCTGCTCTGGGGGGCACGGGGAGGCTGAGGATGCTTGCCCTAGTACTTGCCAAGTCTGCCGAGCCCCCTGGAGAAGCAGGGAGCATGGCTGGCTCAGAATTTGCTAGGCCCCAAAGGCCACCGCTCCTTATTGGGAACAGGAGATGTGTGGACACTGCTCAGCTGTGGGTGTGTGCTTGCACGTGGGAGGTATCTTCATCGCGTGTAAGCACATACATGGGTGTGCTGCCTCCGGTACCCTGACCCTAAAACCTCAATAAACTACCCCAAATGGCTCGAGTGTGTCCTGAGCTTGCACCAGTCAGTGTCTGGGGACTAAAGCTGAGACTGGCTGGGGTCACTGGGCAGCACCCCCAGACTACCCGAGGCTGGCCACAACCAGGGCTCTTGAGAAAGAAGGGCGTCTCCCAGGGACACGTGTTCAGTTGGGCCCAAAGCTGGGACTTGGGGGGCCTCACATTTCAGGCTGCTGTGCTCGCACACACACACACATCCCCACCCCCTCCCCCTACACACACACACCAGGCTCTCCTTGGCAGCCCAGGCCCGGGGTTGAAAGTTGAACAGTATGGGGCCTGCAGCAGCCTCAGCCCCGGCCTGGGTTCCCGTGTGGATCTCTCTCCTGCCTGGTTCTCCTCTTCTGGCCCAATCCTCACCAGTAGCAGGAACTGGCACCCCATCTGGGGTAGCTCCTGGACATGAGGACTCAAGGACATGCCAGACCTGCCTATCAGGTTTACTGAGAGCTTGTGGGGGCAGGTCCCCAGACTCCTGGTCGGCCAGGTCAAGGAAGCAGCTTTGCCCAGAGGAGCTTTGTAGGCCCCACGAAGGTGTGGCTGGCCAGCCTTCCCACGGGCCCCTCTGCTTTCCAGTTGGACGCAAAGCCTCAGCTGTGCACCTGCGGACTCAGAATTAGGGCAGAGTGATGTCTAGCTCACGGTCCTGGTCCTGTGGTGGGCTGCATGTCGCACCTCTGAGCACAGTGGCCAAGACTGGAGCTCTGTGTGGTGGTCAGAACCCAGGTGCTCGGTGCAGCTACAGGTGTGGGGAATAGGAGACGGGGGCGTCCTAGACGATGGGGGTGTTTGTGCTGAGTTTGGGGGTTGGCAACTGTGGGATGGACTCAGCCTTCTGGAGTGGCCCCCGAGCCGAGCCTGGTGTTCCTCACTTCCTTTGGGGCTGACCACAGAGGACATAAAGTCCTGAGTACAAGGAGCAAGGAAGCCACCAGGAGGCAATGCTACCTTGAGAGCACAGCTTGGGGGTGGGGTGGGGGGGAGTAACTAGGACTGGGCAGGAAGTGGAACAGGATAGGGAGCGAATGGACAGGCCAGGCAGCAGCAGGGGGCTCCTTACTCCAAAGCCCCCAGCCCTACCTGACTCCTACCTATGCTCCCACCTGAGCTCACTGAGCTCGCTGCGCACCTCACAGCAGCCCATTCTGGACAGGGCTAAGCAAATGGGCACACGGGGTATAGTCTGGAATGCAAATGCTGACTGTGTCGTGTGCTGGGTGGGAGGGTTGGGGCTATGGGTGATCAGCACCAGGCTTAATGAGTCTGCTCTCCCCACCTACAGCCCCTACCTGTGCTCGGAAGGGCTGGGCATACCCCTGGGAACCTGGCCTGAGCCCCAGCACAGTGTCATCTCCCAAGCTGAGCACACTGGCCAGCAGAGGGCAAAGCCAGGTGCCATCTGGGGCTGAGCCCACACCTCCCGGGGTCATGTGCTTTCCCACCGACCAAAGGGAAGTAGGCCTGGTGCTTGCAGACTTTGCACACCCCGTTTCCTGTGTGTTTTCAGGGAACACCTGTTCAGAAGCCATTGCCAGGGACCTGTCCCTGGTCTGCTGCTGGGTGAGGAAGCTGATGAGCCCTCTTTTGAACCTTGGAGGGGTCCTCAGCTAGCACCTGTGCTCTTAGGGTGGAGAAAAGGACAGAACCTTCCTCTGGTTGTTCCAGATGGACAAAATCCCACATCCCCAAAAAGTTGCCAGAAGTGCTTCAAATCACAAAGCAAACCTTGGAGTTCCTGGAAAGTTTACTTTTGAGCTTTAAACTGTACTTTGAAAACAATGATATGAACCATGTTGAGGTAAGGAGAGGCCCAGCTCCCACACACACACGAGCACACACATCCAGTCCACAGCAGGGCAGGGCCAGGCGAGGCCAGCTCCCCAGGCAGCCCTGGGTAAGTCCAGAGGCAGCCGTCATCAGTCTCTGGAGGGCCAGGCTGTGGTGGCAGATGGCACTGGAGCCCCTCCAGGCCTCAGGGTTCCTGCCCCCCTCAGTGCAAAAGTGACCTCTTGGGCTGGCTGAGAACACTGGGGCTCACTGAAAGGTCACCCACAGCAAGTCATTGCCCTGTGGCAGCCAGTCAGCTCCACTGGTTCTCAACCCCAAGGCTACCCACAGCCTCCCTGTCACCTGCAGAACATGGCCCTATGAAGCCTGCTGGGTGTGACACTCAATACACACAGTGACCTTTCGGACAGGGTCCCTCCAAAAGTGAGTGCAATTCCATGCAAGGCCTCAACTAATCCTGCCTCTCCCTCAGGCTGCTCTGACAACCACAGATCGAGTTCCAGCGGCCAAGCCCCACCGTCTGGGAGAGGAGACGGGGCCTGCTGGAGGCGCCCTCCCACCTGCACGCCAGGAGACTGCTCCACCTTAGCAGGTTTTGCGGTGGACTGAGAACCCCCAGCAGAGGAAGCAGGCCTGGCCTGTGGTTGGGCTGGGGCTCTGCCAGGTGCCCCCACTTCTGGGAGGGGCATGTTGCTGGGCACCACAAGCGGGTCCTCAGCATCCCAACTCCTTTAGTGGCCTTGTTTAAGTGGTAGAAATGCACAGAAAAGCCAAATCTGGCACCATCTTCCTTAAGAAAGTTCCCAGGGGTGGCCCTCAAGAGGCCAGTAGTAGGGGCTCTGGTCCTGAGCGCCAAGGATCTGACCACAACACCCGTTGCCTGCCCAAGGCTGCCCTCAGCTTGGCAACGTTCAGAAGACTGTCCTAGTAACTCTGCACATCCTGGCACCTGAAACAGACAAGGAAAAAGAAGTTCCCTCCTAGGGGGCATCTGGCCCAAGCTGAGCCCCCTCATACAGAGGGCAGCGAAGTCCCAAGGTGTTTCCCCTTCCTCCCTACCCCCCAACTGAGCCTAGATACGCAGATCTGGCCCACAAGGGTGCCCTCGCCTCTGCCCGCCTTGGTGCTCACCCTCCCACCCGGTGTGGCTGTCCCCTGCCCGACAGAGCAGGGTCACAGAGGGGCCGGGGCGGTCGCGCTGCCCAGGGACAGATCAGCCGCTGTCACACGCACAGTGGGTCCGGAGCAGCGCAGTGTGCGGTGGGCAGTGGCTGCCCTGCGCCTGGAGGGACCGCCGGGTGGACGGAGGGGCCGTCCCCCATCCCCGACCCCCCTCCCTCTCCAACTTGTGCGTCCGCGTCCCACCGCAGCAGCCCGGCCCGAGCCCCCGCCCGCCAGTCTGGGACCCCTCGCGCGTCACCTGCAACCCCGGCGCCGGACCGTCGCCAGCTCTCTGCCCAAATTCGGCGGCCGCCGCGGGCCCCTGACTCCCCCGACCGGCCCCTGCGCGCCCCGAGTCCCGCGCCCGGCCCGCGCCCCGCGCCCGGCCTGTATGCAAATAGTGAGGGTCTCGCAGCCAATGGTCCGCCGGTCAGGTCCCGCCCTACTCCGCCGCAGCCAGTGGGCGCGAGGTGTGGGCGGGACGCCACGCCCGCCGCCGCGCGGCCCCTCGCGGGCGCGGCCGGCGCGTTCCTTTCCGCACGTCGGCCTCGGGGCGGGGCCGCCACCTGCCGGGCGGGGCCGGCGGGCGCCGCGCGGCTGCCGAGCGGGGCGGCTCCCCCGCCGGCCGGGGCGGGTGGTACGGCCCGAGGCGCTCCCCCGCCCTCGCGGTGGGCTGGCGGCTCCCGGGAACGCGCGGGGCCCCGGCGCACGTAGCCCGGCCGCGCCCTCGGGACGCACGTGCGGCCCGCGCTGCCCAGGGCCGCGGCGGAGCGCTCGGCTGTCGGGCGGGGTCCCGGGTCCCTCCGGCTGGATCCGTCGCCTTGGAAGGCTCGGAGTCCGGGTCCGGAGGGGACACGGCGCGGTGCGCGCAGGCCCCTCGGTGGTTTGCCCGTCCTGTTGGGGCTTTGAGAAAGTATAATCATGAGAACGGACTGTTTAAGGTCTGAAGTTATTGACTCCTGGGCGGTGCCCCAAGGTGGCAGCCTAGGGAGATTTGGCCCCGGTCCCCTTCCCTTCACACTCCGTCGTTCCCTACCTCCATGGCCAGGGGACCCCTGAGGCGGAATCCCGGGTCATTCGCATCCCTAATGGGGTAGAGAGACGCTTGCTCCCCTTTCGTTCCTTACACAGAAGTCCTGAGGGGCCCTTTCCGCCCTCCCCAGAAAGCCGGAGCCGTCCACTTCCCCTCACCTCACTCACTCCAGTCAGCGTCGCCCACTCCTGCCTCTGACCCTGGCCCTCCCTGAAGGGCCTTATCCACCTGTCCAGGCAGCTTCAAAGGTGTTCTCTTCGCTTCAGTGCTATTCCGGTCCTCCCCCCAGGGGCTGTGCCTCCTTAGCCTCGGCCACTGTGGCCACCACTCTCTGCTGCCCTCCTGCCCTCTGGCTCACCACCCGTGCCTACTTCTCCCTTTCTCCACACCCCACATGTGCGTGGGCTGGAGCCCAGCTCCTGTCACAAAACCTGGGTGTCCAGACTACACACTTCCCATCATCAGATCACTTCATTTCTTCGAAACCATTGCCGGGGCACCTGGGTGGCTCAGTTGGTTGAGTGCCCAGCTCAGGTCATGATCTTGTGGGTTGGTGGGATCGAGCCCTGCATCCAACTCTGTGCTGACAGCACAGAGCCTGCTTGGAATTCTCTCTCTCTCTCTGCCCTTCTTCCACTCGTGCTTGCTCACTCTCTCTAAATAAATAAATAAATAAGTAAAACTTTTAAAATATTGCCTGATTGGCTAAGGGCTGGGCTCCAGGGAGGCATCTAACCTGCTTGGGACATCAGGAGCCTGAAGCCTGGGGATAGAAATTCAAGTGCAGGATGCTGTGGGTGTGGCCACCTATGGGTGGGGAAAGAACACAGAGGAGCAAGGAGCTGGCTCAGCTCTACTGGGGGTCAGAAGTGGCAGGGTGGCAAAGTCTGGATCACGGAGTCTTGAAGGAACCCCTAAGAATCTTCAGGATCCTCGAGGAGGTCCACACCTTCAGGACAGGGTAGTGGTCTGGAGGAAAGACGTCTGGGATTCGGGGACACAGAGAAGCCAAATGTCAGGGTGACTGAGTTCCTGTCTTGCCTTTACTGGTACGACCCTTAGCTGTGCCCTCCAGTTCTGCTGCTTCCAAATGCAACTCTTATCACCCTCTGTAGTGGCTTGAATAGTGTCCCCTCAAGAAGATGTCTGTATCCTAATGCTTAGACCCTGTGAATGTTACCTTACTGAGAAAAAGATCTGTGCAGCTTTAGTTGAGTTAAAGGTCTTGAGATAAAAATCGTCCTGGTTTACCTGGGTGGGCTCCAAATCCAATGGCAAATGTACTTATAAGAGAGGCAAGGGGTGCCTGCGTGGCTCAGTCGGTTAAGCTCCAACTTCGGCTCAAGTAATGGTCTCACAGTTCGGGGGTTCGAGCCCTGCGTTGGGCTCTGTGCTGGCAGCTGACTCATAGCCTGGAGCCTGTTTCAGATTCTGTGTCTCCTTCTCTCTCTGACCTTCCCCAGCTCATTCTGTCTCTCTGTCAGAAATAAATTTAAAAAAAAAAAAGATATAGGGGTGCCTGGGTGGCTTAGTCGGTTGAGCGTCCGACTTTCGCTTAGGTCATGATCTCGCGGTTTGTGGGTTCGAGCCCTGTGTCGGGCTCTGTGCTGACTGGCAGCTCAGAGCCTGGAGCATGTTTCAGTCTGTCACTCCCTCTCTCTCTGACCCTCCCCTGCTCACGCTGTCTCTCTCTCTCTCTCTCCTAGAAATAAATAAAAAACATTAAAAAAAAAGATAGATATAGGCGAGAAGAGAGAGATAGATATACAGGAAGGAAGGCCATGCAAAGACAGAGGCAGAGTTTGGGGTGATCTGGCTACAAGCCAAGGAAGCCTAGAGCACCAAAAACCAGAACAGGCAAGAAAGGATTCGCCCTACAGATTTCCAAGAGAGCACAGCTGCCTTGGATTTTGGACTTGTGATTTCTGGGACTGTGAGAGAATAAACTTCCGGTTAAGCTATCCAGTCTGTAGTCACTGGTTAGGGCCACACCACACCCACCTTCCCAAGTCTCCTCCCCTGGCTCTGGCGCTGTGTTTGTGTGCAGACCTGACGGCAGGGGGAAGGGCCGGCCTGGGCTGGACACAGCCAAGGTAGCTCCCAGTCCAGCTCCATCCTCCCGTATAAAACAGAAGTGTGCATTTCATGTATGTTCCTGCCTGAGCTTTGGAGCGGCAAGGCAGGGTACACTAGCACACACCACAGACCCAGCAAGGGCTTCAGAGTGCAAATCTACGGGGGATATGTGGGCAGGGTGCACACTGTGCGTCCTTGCTTGAAACTAGCATGTGAGAAGTGGCAGGTGGGCGGCTAGTCAGTGTGCACTGGAGTGATATTACTGATGGGGGCCATACAAGGAAGGTGTCCACATGCACACTGGAGGGGGAGTTATGTCAGCACGTGGAGGGCATCAGTAAGTGGGAGACATAGGCATGTGCTTTGCTGTCAAGAGGTACCACCTATGTTCAGTTTGGGCCCAGACCAATGGCTCCGGGGACTTTCCTGAGGGCACGTCTCACATCTGAGCACAAGTTGACATGACTGGGTAGATGCTGCTCTGCCCAGGGGTGTCTCCAGAGTAAGTGATTTTCCCATTGTGGGTGCATGTGCTTATCATGACAAGCTCCAGGGGCCCCCAGGAACAGGTGCGCACGAAGGTAGGAAGGGCTGCCCCCTCTCCAAAGGGGCTCCAAGTTGGCTATAAGCTGCTGGTTCAACTCCTTTCTAGGAGGGTCAGCAGGGTGCCCCTACCATTTGGTAACCTCTGCTGGGTAGCGGCCTTATATCTGATGGTCTCTAGTGGGCAGGCATGTGTATGCAGAAGGGCCAGCACATGCCAAGCTCCAAGCTGTGAAGGAGGGGGAGGGGAAGGTGCCTGATGCAAGGTAGCTACCATGCTGGACCCCACTCGAAGTGCTATCCCAATACTAGTCCATCCATCTCTCAACCTCCCTGTTCTACAGCCAAGGCCCAGAGAGGTTGAGAAGCTCTTCAAGGTTATGTGATTGATACACTGGAAGCCCAAGTGCCCAGGTTCAGGTACCTGGACTGAGGGACACCCTAGAGGCACCGTGCTGTACCAGTCACCCCCCCAGACCCCACCCCGATGGCCCACAGAGAGGAATCACTCCTGAGTGTCTCATATCTCTGGCACCATCCATTCTTCCTTTCTGCAAAGTCCTTTACAGAGTTTGTAAATTAGCTGTAGTTTCTCCGGTTGTAAACCTAAAAAACAACCCTCCCTTGACTGGCTCCCTCTTGGCCGCCCCTGCTCGTCCTTTCTCTTGCAGTAGAACCACTTGCAAGAGTTACTTGCAAGTGCTCTGGTGACTGTCCCATTCTCTTTAGACTCCCTCCGGCCCTCCCCCCTGCAGTGCTGCGTCCGCCGGGTCACAGGGACTCCCACCTCACCCACCCAGGCCCCTGCCTGATGGGCCCTCCTTTTCCTTCCCTGGCTTCCAGAAGCCCCTCTCCTGGCTTCCCCCCTCCTGTTTACTCCCCATATCCCCCAGCACACCCCCTTTCTTCAGAATCTACCAGGAGCTTCTTGCTTCCCGCACCTGTGCTGCCCCCACCCGAGCCCGAGCCATGGTGGTCCCTGAACTGCGGTTACCGAGGTGGCCCCCTGGCCGGTCCCCTGGGGCCTGCCGTCGCCGCCCCGCGGAGCCTGTAAGCCAGCGCACGTCATCCTGCCCTAAATGCACTTCTAGGGCCCCTAGCGCCTGTGGCCACTCCCCACCCTGGGCCCGGCCACCCCGGCCTCCTTCCCGAGGTCCGGCGGCTTCTCGATGCTCTCTCCATGCGGCCCAGCTCGGCCCCTTTGACGTCCATCCTCACAACCTAACACTGGCCAGTCGTCCTGAGCCCTGGATCCTACCCCGCTTTATCTTTCCTCCTAGCACGAGTCAGCTTCTCCCACACCACACGCTGTAGTGATTTACAGTGCTCGTGGCTTCCTGTGTCTGCGCCGGACGCGATGCGGTGCCGGGGTCTCCCGCGGCCGTGCCCAGCACCCGGAGGAGCCCGCGCACGTACGGCTCGGTCAGCGTTTGGTGCGGGCGGCAGGCGCCCGGGGGCGGGGGGCGTGGCCACCGGGTGGGGGCGTGGCCACCGATATGGGGAGGGGCTAGACCTCGGGGGCGGGGTCTCAGGCGTGCCTGACGGCCGCTTCCATTCGTCCAGGGCCGCGGGCTGGGGCTCGGACCGTACCAGCTCCCGGCGGGGGAGGGCGACCCGTAACAGCTACCGGAGGGGGCCTAGACACCAACAAGTTCCACAGAAACTGTCTTCCTGGGCGGTGTCCAAGTATTAACCAGAGTTTCCAAAGCCTCGGGGTCCTCGGCTGCGGCGAGCGGCGGCTTCCGCCACCCAGGCTCTTCTTCCCCACCCTGGTCCCAGTGGTTCCCGCCAACGGGCGGGGCGAGGCGGGAGGGCCCCGGAAGCCGGCTGAGTGCACTTCCGGGTCGGGGAGCGCGCGGCGGTGGCGGCGGCGGCGGCCTAGTCGAGGGTGTCGCTCGGGCGGTGGCAGTGGCGGTGAGCGCCCGAGCACAACCGGAGGGGCACGAGATTCCCGGGTACGTGCGAGCCCCGCGGCGGTCCCGGGGTCCCTGCCGCGCCCCGGCCGCGCGGGCCTGCCGCGAGCGCCGCGCGCATTGTCTGAGGCCTGCCCCGCGGTGCGAGGCCTACGCCGCGCTGGCCCTGGGCGGGCGGCGGGGAGCTCGGTGCGGGCGGGTGGGCGGGCGCGGGGCAGGGAGGCCTCGCACCGAGCCTTGGCGGCCCCTCGGTCTGCGGGCGGATTTCCGGGGTGGCCGCCTCCGGTCGCCTGCCGCGGGGAGCACACCCTGCCCCGTCAGACGGACACCCCCCCCCCCCCACCAGCCCCGCGCTGTCGCTCTCCCCTCTGAGCGAGGTGTGACTCTTTGCCAACTCGTTTCCAGCTCCCGGTCATCACTGCTTTCGTCGGCTTCGTCTCCGTTTTGGCGGCCCGAGTGGTTCGCGGGATGGTTTCCTGTTAACTCACGTAGTCTTCACAACAACCCCCGGGAGTAGGGATCGTCCTTCCTCTTCTACAAGTGAGCCGAGCCGAGCCTGGAGAGGCTAAGTAACTTACCAAAGGCGCACAGCTGCTGAGCGCACTGCCAGAGCGCCAGGTTAACGCAGCCGCAGCCGGACTCCGGGGCGGAGCTCTCTGTCTAGCGGCGTCTGTGTCACCTCTTTGTCAGTCTAGGAGGTTGCATTTACTGTTCTGGCGGCTGCCTGGTGAGCCACCTTCTAGCCAGTGGTCATACGGGCAGAACGTGAGGCCAGGTGAGGTTTGACTTGAGACTTAGCAACCATCACCGGCCCGGTGTGCCGTGTTAGAACTGTCAGCCTTGCTCAGGGCCTGGTGATGCCCAGGTGCCAGTTACCACTGAAGCTCTTTAGCTTCCTTAGTAACAGTTGGAATTGTAGGTGCTTTGGGTCTCTGCATTTGAAAAGAGACAAATGCTCTTTCTGGTTTAACTATTTCTTCTTGATGCTCTAAGTCTAGAGGTTGAGCAGGAGAACCCCAGAGCACAGCCAGCAGCTGGGAGGGGGCTGTGGGCCTTGCTGCGAAATGGCTTCCTGGCCTGTCCTCTGGAGCACGGGGGCGGAGGTGGGGATGGTGGATCTGGGCGGGCATGTCTGAGCTGGTGCTGCTGGTGGGCCAGTAGGTCCTAAGGCGGGGTCCCCATTCACAGAGTTCTGACTGCAGTGCTCCCAACAGGGAAGGGGTCTCTAGTCATGGTCTCTTCCTTGGTATTTGCACAGGTGCTTGCTCTGGAAAGTACTTTCAGAGGCTACCTGGGCTTTTTCCCCTGGGTCCTGCGAGCAGTTAACTGTCGCATGATGGATCCCGAACAGACGGTGCTCAGACTTGTAATCGACACCCTCCTGCTGCCCTGGTAGAGCTTTTCCTCCCCAGCTGTGGTGGAGGAGCACGAGGCCATGGGACGTAACCCCACAGGGGCAGGAACTTGGCGATTTGACCCTGTGCCCCGGCTGGTATTTCCGGCAAGCCCCTGTGTGCCAGACCCCATCACAGCCTGCTTGGCCTCTTCGGGCAGCCCTCTGAGCTAGGCCTTGCCACTGCCTGTTACAGGTGGGCCTAGGCCTTAGTGCACTAGGGAAGCCAGGGCTTATTTGTTCTTCCCTTTGTCCTCTGCTTGTGTCACATGTCATCAGGGTAAGGATTTGTCCTAAAAACTGTCCTCAGCCGTGCTCTGTTGTATCTTTGGTGGCCTCAGGGGTTACATTTTCTGGTATCTGTAGGGTTCGCTGGCAGATCTATGTGTGATGGTACAGTCAACCCTCGAACAACACAGGGATTGGGGTGCTGACCCCCACGCAGTCAGAGTTCCACATGTAACTTCGGACTCCAAAGACTTTATTATTGATAGTCTGCCATTGACTGGAAACCTTACCGATGACAGAAACCACTGATTGACGCACGTCTTGTGTATGTTATGGGTCATGTTCTTATAAAGTAAGTAGAGGAAAAATTGCTGCCCAAGAACACCCTGAGGAAGGAAAACACATATTACCGTACTTACCGGAAACTGTCACGTGTAAGTGGGCCTGTGCACTTCAAATGAGGGTGAGCTGCATTCACCCCCCTTGTGGGCAGGAGAGTGTGCTGCACACAGCAGGGGCAGGGCAGGTCCTGGAGCCATCCCAGGAGTACTCTGGAGTCCACCTGTGGGAGTGATCACAACTGTGGTCAGACCGTTCTAGGCCCTCTTCCCTGAGCCCTGAAGCCATCGTGCTCATAGGAGACATGTCATCCTCCTGGAAGGACAGCGGCACTGCCATGCCCCTTAGTCTGTGTGCCTCTAGCAGGAGTCATGGTCAGAACTTGCGGGACAGGCTGGGTCCCTGCTATGTTGCTGAGTCGCCAGGGGTGCAGATCCTTAGTTGGACGGCACCATGGCTCATTTTCTTTGCCTCAGAGCACTAAGTACAAGAAAGGTGGTAATCTTAGGGAGATATGATTTCCAGGTGGAAGCAGTATAAGGCACTTGATAGTTTCACCGTGCTCATATGCCCTCACTGTTTCAGGAAACATCATCCTAAAGTCTCGGGCTTTGTAAGGGAAGCCAGGCAATCCGGAATCTGAACCTGGCCTTAGCCCCATTGGGAAATTGTTCTCTGGGAGCATCTTTACAAAGACAGCCCCTCTCCTGGCTGCCATGTTGTGTGTGAAGCCCTTGGTGGGTGGCCCGCGGCCCATAGGAGAGAAGCCTGCATGCAGGATCCATGAACAAACCTTGCCTGGCTCTTGGGCACCTTTCTCTCCTCTCCATCTGGTCTTTTGTGTGACCCCTTTCCTCTGACCACGGAGAGTGGATTTGGCCCAAACACACTGCATAGGGAGAGTTTTCTTCATTATGTCCTAGAGTGTTAAGTGTGTCCTCTAAGAGTCATCTGGGAAATGACGTGAGTGCATTGTTGAGAAAGAAGCCCTTATTTGGGGTCCACAAGATTGGAAGGCCTGATGAAGGAGGTGATTGTGTCTTTTGCGTTTGTGAGGTTATTTGTCTAGATCTTCTGTGTCATCTTTGCAGTGGTCTTGCAGAGTAGGCAGGTGATAAGCCATTTCATTGTGCCTGGTGTCAGGATTCCTTAGGAGAGTTAAGGTGTTGTCAGACTGAAACTAAATTAGGTCCACTATAAATTGAGATTTGACTTTGAAGTGAGAATTGGCTTTTCTCATTTGTAGATGGCAAAGATGCACAGTTTTGTGGTTAGAATTGCTTTGTTTCTTTGTTTTTGCGTTTAACTTGAGAGAGAGAGAACCTTAAGCAGAACCTTCACACTGAGTGTGAAGCCTGACGTGGGGCTTGATCCCACCACCCCGGGATCATGACCTGAGCCAAAAGAGTCAGACCCCCAACTGACTGAGCCCCGCCCCCCCCGCCCCCCCCCCGTGTGTCCCTAGAGTTGTTTCATTTTCTGTCTCACGGCTTGGCTTCCCTGTCTTACAAGTGAACATGAGTCACCAGGTCATTATGTGTAGCAAGTGACTGGAGACTGTTGGGCTTGCAGAAGGAAAGTGTTGCATCTTGGGACAGTTGGGAATCATTTGACTCTGTTTAATTTCAGAGCCAAACGCCAATGTCTAGCGATGGATGACGACAGCCTGGATGAGCTTGTGGACCGAAGCCCAGGGCCAGATGGACACTCAGGACTCGGCCCTGCTGCCCTGGCCAGCAGTGCTGGTGAGCCGGTCTCCCACTTCTTGCATGGAGGTGGGCGAGCAGTTGGAGCTGGTGGTGTTCATGGCTTGCACCTGTCTGGGTGGTTGGCTCTGGGAAAAGCTGGAGTTCCCTTTGGGGCGTTACCTACATGTGTCAATTTCAACTCTCAGACTTTTTAAAAAAGTAATTCTTTGTTTTTAAATTGTGTTAGTGATACATTTGTTTATCTTATTTTTCACTAGATCAGGATAGATGCTCATGGGGAAGAATGCGCTTTCCCCTCATCTGTCCCCCTCCAGCCCAGCTCCCCAGCCCCACCTGGTCAGCTGCCACTAGTCCCTTTGGCCCGTGCCTCTGAGCCCCTCTGCGCAGCTTGGAGCCAGCCCTTGCCTTTCGCTGCCTTAATTGTGTGACACTTACCCTGGGCTTGTGTCTTCCTCTCTTTCGCCTTAGAAGATAGCAGTGACGGCAGCAGTGGCAGCTCGGAGGATGACACGGGCAGTGAGCACAGCTACAGCACTGACGGCGAGGACGAGGAGGGCGGGCTGGAGGACCGATCTGGTGAGAACGCCAGCGTTTGAACAGCCTCCTGGTATTCCTTCTTGCGGCGACAGGGACAGCAGTTCACAAAGTGTTGTTAGTGGAATCGATGCCTTGACCACACTGGCCGACTGAGGGCTGTGGGAAATTGGAGAGGCTCCTCGGCCCCCTGCGGCGGGCCCTCGCCTTGCGCTGTGGTAGCGGCTTCTCTTGTTGTCATCCTCTCTTTCAGAATTCAGTTTGACAGCATGGCTTCACAGGCCTCTTCCCTGGTGATGGCAGGAGATTCAAATGTCTGAGAAGGTGGAGCATGAAGGTGGGGTCTCTCCAGGGAGAGAGCACAGGGTGGACTTGCTGCCAGACTGAGCAGAAGGCTCTTGGTGGCCCAAGCTCCCGCACCCCCAGGTACAGGGCAGGGCTAGCCTAGGCAAGGTGTGCTGTGGCCTGGGGCCACTTGGCTAGGACCCTCAACAGGTCAGCGGCGTCTTCCGTGGCTTGTTCTTGTTCTGACCAGAGCCCCTGGGAGAGCTGGCAAACGCGCGAGGTGACTTTATTAAGGAATCCCCAGCACAGGCGTACGGGTTGGCATTCGTGCCCTTCAACTTCTTCACAGGAAATGCTGCTTTAAGGGACTCTGGATAGGCTGACAGCGTCTCCTTCAGCGTCCTTTTTAGCTGCCCTGGCTGTGCATGGCCTACAAGGTCTCCAGGCTGGACCACCCTGTCCAAGACCAGCTGTGATCACCTTTCTCAGAGGGAGGGCACGTGTGGCACTCTGCTGATCGGGTGCTGGACTTTGGAAGTTTGGCTCATGGCTCCTTTCCTTCTGGCATAGTCATTAAGTCAGGAGAGGCATGGTTCTAAAACAAATACAGGATTTGTGTATTTGACTCTGCCTCCTGTAGTTGTCAGTGTCAGAATGTTCCAGGAAGGGAATCCTTCATGTTTGGGACAGTGCTCATGAGGGAACAGGACTGAAATAGCAGGAGCCATTGTGAGTGACAGCTGTGTGTTTATCGGTGACATGCCCTTCCGTGGTTAGATTTTTTTAATAAGTTTTATTGAAACTCAGAGCAAAAGCACTAGCTGGGGGAGGGTCAGAAAGAGGGCAGAGCTCGGATGCTGGACTTGAATCCACAAACCGAGAGATCATGACCTGAGCTGAAATCAAGAGTCAGACACTCAGTCAGCTGAGCCACCCAGGCACCCAGAGTTGGGTTGGTTTTTTTTTTAATTTTTTAAAAATGTTTTACTTATTTCTGAGAAAGAGAGAGACAGTGTGAACAGGGAAGGGTCAGAGAGAGAGGGAGACACAGAATCCGAAGCAGGCTCCAGGCTCTGAGCTGTCAGCACAGAGCCTGACGCGGGGCTTAAACCCACGAACTGTGAGATCATGACCTGAGCCGAAGTCAGATGCTTAACTGACTGAGCCACCCAGGCGCCCTGAGTTAGGTTTTGAATCCTGTACGCTGGGATGTAAAATCCTGCCTGAGTTTGCAGGTCACAAATATGGCTCTTCAGCTTATCCCCCAAGATTGAGTTGGGGCGTTATGCTTCCCTGCAGCCAGTCTTGGGCACACACACTTGGCACTGGCAGGGCCAAAGCCAGAAGACGTCATCCCTTGAGCAAAGGTCTGAGGGCCTGTTGGACGTCAGAGAATGTAGGCAGGGCCCGAGGGAGTACAGAAGCCAGCTCAGCTGGGGTTCCTGCGCTCCCCACTTAGCAGCCACAGTGGCATACAGAAGTAGTTGTGATAAGGGTAATACATGCCAAGCTAAGCTGTGATCTGAAGGACAGGAGGGAGGGGCTGCAGGAAGGGAGGCCGCAGGGCCCTGGGTGTGGCTGGTGCGCCTGGAAGCCTCATCCGCAGGGCCCTGGGTGTGGCTGGTGCGCCTGGAAGCCTCATCCACACGCACGCCCACCCTTCCCTTCAGTCTTTGAGGCGTAAAAGGTGCCCTTATAGGAAGTGTAGTCAGACATCAAGAAGGGAGTTTCCTACAAAGACATTCCCTGCACCCCTACAGGCCTGGCCCTTCCCAGGGGCACCTCTTCTGCTTGTCGCTTTTTTTGCTCTAGTATTTGTTCCTGAAAATCACTTGATTGCTGCCTGCTGAGTTTCCAACTTTAAGTATTATCTGTTTGAGTCTTACCGTAAAACCTGAGGACTTAGGGCTCTGATCTGTGGCCTCGCCCCCGCTCCCCAGGCTGCGCGCTCACATGCTCCGCAGGGAGCTGTTACGGATGAGGGAGCCTGAGTCACCGTGGCCGGCTCAGGGCGTCATCTCACATCGTCTCACAGCACCCTGTTCCCTCACAGCACCCTGTTCCCTCCAGCGGGCGCACTCTTCTCAGAGACCCTGTGCTCCTCAGCGCTTGGGTTCCCAGGCCTGCTGCCCAGCCAAGCTGGCGCCCGCATCAGCACCGTGCTCCGTTTGCCCTCCCCTCTAGTGGGGACCATCTCAAGCAGCCCCTGAGACGGGCTGGGCAGAGGCGGATGGCTTGGGCTTCACACACCTGCACAGGTCTGTCCACCCTCATCAGTGGCGGTCACTGTCCCTCAGAGACTTCAGAGGCGTTGCTCTGTGAGCTGAGGTGCTGCACAAGGTCCTTCAGATGGACAATTCTTCTGCCTCTGGGAATTCAGTAGGAAGAACCTGATCACCAGGCCTCAGCCTGCTTCTGCTTTCTCAGCCCTTTAGCAAAGCGGGAACGCTGAGCAAAGTCCATTTTCATGCAGCTTCCCACCTGGCCTTTTCCAAAACTTTGTGCATGCTAATTTCATTAGGGTTTTTTTTTTTCTCTTTCCGTGTAACGAATTGTCACAAACCTGGCAGCTCAGGACAGTGCACTCATTATCTCCATGTTTCTGGGGCCAGCTGTTCAGATGTGGATTGCTGGCCCTTCACTCAGGTCTCACCAGCTGGCGTCAAGGGGTCGCAGGGCCACGATTCCCATCTGAGGCTCAGGGTCCCCTTGCAGGGCTCCTGCTTGTCAGCAGACCCTCGTGGGTGTAGGGCTGTCGGACAGGGCCTGTCCTCGCCTCGTAGAGGCCTCCCTTCATCAGCACTTCACGCCAGCTGTTTGCTTTCCTCCACACCTGTCAGGAGCACATCCCTCTGACTTCATTCTCTGCAACCAGGCAGGGAACAGGGCTATTAGAGGAGTCACGTGATTGCGGGGGGTGGGGATTATTTTCCTCTGCCATGCAGAGGGAATTGAGTCACTTGCTGTGTCCACACTTAATGGATCGGATGGGGTGTAGTGCTGGGGGCTTGTGAAGACCCTGCCTGCCATACCTCTGGTGCAGATGAAATCAGGTCTCTGTTTTAGTGGAGTTTGGGAGGAAGAGAAAACTAAACGCATGTGTCAGCTGCTGCGCTGAACTCAAAAGTGTCTCCTTTTCTGCTGGTCAAGTCCCAGCCTCAGAACTGATCAGAACTATTGTGGCCAAATTGTTTAGTTAGGAATATATGTTCTCTACGTCCCAAAAGAAGAAAACCAAGAGACCTGTAAGGGAGGTCTTACTCAGGCACATGCTTTGTTAACATCGTTTTGAGAAGCATTTTGGGGCACTTGGTGCCGTCTGGAGGCTGCTGTGCCGAGTGGGGCTACCTCGGGGGAACCCAGTTGTCAGATGGGCGTGGCCCCTGGGAACCTGCCCTGATCATGAGGGTTTTGATTCTGCATCCAGAGGAGGGCTAGAGGAGCTGGTATGGTCACTCAGCCACTGTCATATCCCCTTAGCTTGGACACAGCTTCAGGTGAGGTGCCCAGGAATGGTCACACCATGCAGGGCTGCAGGAAGGGGATATGGAAACACGCTTTTCTGAGTGCACTTGCTTTTAGTATCCCGACTCACAAAGTTGTGTTCCTTCTTTCTCAAGGCTCTGAAGATTCTGAAGAAGAAGGAAGAGAAGGAGGAGGCATGGAAACATTAGTGGCAGTGGTGGACACTCAGGGGAAGTTGGAAGCCAGTGGCGCGTTTAATTCTGATGATGATTCCGAGAGCTGCCCGATTTGTCTCAATGCTTTCCGGGACCAGGCCCTGGGGACACCGGAGAACTGTGCCCATTATTTCTGCCTGGACTGTATCGTGGAATGGTCCAAGGTGAGCAGGGCTCCAAGGTTCTTCCTTCAGGATGACCTCTCTCCATTTATTCATTATTTATTTTTTTTTTTTTGGAAGGGGGCGGGGTGCAGAGAGAGAACCCCAGATCATGACCTATGAGATCATGATCTGAGCTGACATCAGGAATCAGAGGCTCAACTGACTGAGCCACCTGGACAGCCCCTTCTCCATTTATAAGTGACCCTGTCAGTTGCTGGCCTTTTGCCGGGTGGTTCTCTCTGTTCTACAGTAGAAGTTGGAGCCACAGGGTTGGGTCTTAGCCTGGTCTTTGCTTGGTTGGTGTGCTGTTGGGGTTGCTGGTGAAGCTCACTGTGGGGTGGTGTGCTTGAGGAGCATTGGATGAGGAGGCAGGACAGAGGAGGGTTATTTATGGGTCAGTATCCCTTGGGGACCCATCTGCAAAAATCCTGAATGACCTAGGGGCAATCTGTGGCCAGCAGAGTCAGCCTTATGTGCTGTGGCCCCGCAAGATGGCATCATCTCTTAGATGCAGAGAAAGCATGTGATTCAGTTTGGCACTGAATCATGATAACCAGCAGTAAAGGGAGTGATCCTTAAAACAGATGAAGGGAATTTCCAGAAGTATATAGTGTATTTCATGATGAACTTTAGAAGCAGTAACTCCCTTCCTTATTAAACTTTTTATTGTGAAAAATCTCAAAGAAGTAGAATAGTACAGGCAGAGTGATGTGTGCTCCCAACCCCCATCTTCAAGAACTGTTAAGTCTGCTTTCTGTGTTTCGTCTCATCCTCTTCCTGTCCTGTAAGTTCACCAACACGGATGTGATAGGAAGGTAGCAGATCTCCATGCCGCCACCTCATCCAGCGAGAGAGACCGTAACACCATAGCCTCTAACCCCAGCCCTGTTCCCCGTTTTTCTGGAGAGCTCAGAGCACTTATATGTGGGGGTTTGTGTGACCTGTCCACATGGCCACACAGCTGCTGGCTCCTTCCCTGTCTCTGGTACCACCAGTTCCTGCTCTGTGGTGCTGGGTCCATGGCACACGTTAGATCAAGGTTTAGGTTTTCGTGGCCAGCAGAGCCTTGTAAATTGAGGAACACGGCAGGGTGTGGGTTGTCTGTCTCATAGTCGATGCTGTGCTGGATTAGTACAAGGAGAAAACAAGGGTATGAGTATCATGTAGGAAAAGTTGCTATTTACAAATAGTAAGTTATCAATATTGATAGTTGACCAATGAGTTGTTGTAATGTGGAGTTCAGCAAGATTGTCAGACACGAGATTAACCCGGGTTAAGAAGTTCTAGTGTACGTAGAAGTTCTGAAAAGACACGTGAGACCTTTAAAGAGCTTTTCTAAAACCATTGAGACTGAAGAAAGCACTTTCTGGAAGGGAAATCCCGCCTCAGAGAGATGGCATTGGTGATGATGCTCACTGCTGTCCTGACTGGACCATCAGAGCCTTGCAGGGCTCTGAAATTTGTAGAGGAGAAAAAGAAAATACCAAGAATTGACAGTCTATTTGAAAAAGGGCAGTCACCTGCTGGATGTTAAGATTACAGAACTATAGCGAGTACACCAGAGTTGGTCCGGGAGTGGAGACCGGGCCCCAAGAGCTTGGCGGATACCTGTAAGGACAACCATACGCAGCAGACAGCGGGTGGCATCTCACACTGCGGGGAGCGGGGCCCTCCAGGCGCATGCAAGAGATGGAGGGAGAGGGGGCCGCTCACACCCCACATACAGCGCCACCTGGACTCAGGATTGGAAGTTAGCAAGTGGTGCTGGGAAGCCTTTGCGGGAAGATGCAGGCAGCTGTCAGGACAGGGAAGGAGTCTTAGCGCAAGAGCCGTAGAAGTGTTTACATACGGGCAGCGACACAGGCGTCGGGAGTGTGGTGCCATTGTGAGATGCCACCATAGGTGCCAGAAGGTCAGACCGGAGCCCCGGTAGGATGGCAGCCCCTGTACCTCCCAGATCGGAGGAGGTGTAACATGTCCAGCCACACACCACACGCACTGTTGACCTGTGAGCTGGAGAGAGGCCGTGAGTCCATCTGCGCAGCCCGTCCTCAGGTGTGCGGGCAACTTCTCTTTGCCCACCTTGCGGGAACCGGCACTGAACCGGTGGCTGTTCGGCCCCACCTGCTGGTGAAGAGCGGCGTGCGCAGCCAGAGCCTGTCCTCAGGACAGGCATCTGGAACTCCAGGGGAGCAGAGTTGGGGAGGGGCACTGGAGGCCTTGGGTGCCGACCACACGATGTAAATTTGTCAGAACTCCTTGAGATAGACGTGTAAAAATAGCGATAGACGTGTAAAAAGAGTGCATGTTATTTAAAAAAAAGTTTTTTTAATATTTTATTTATTTCTGAGAGAGAGAGAGAGCGCGCGCTAGTGAGCATGAGAGAGTCAGACGGGGGAGACACAGAATCCGAAGCAGCTCCAGGCTCTGAGCTGTCAGCACAGAGCCCGATGTGGGGCTCAAACCCACGAACCGTGAGATCATGACCTGAGCCAAAGTCAGACGCTTAACCGACTGAGCCACCCAGGCGCCCCAAGAGAGCATGTTGTTATGTATGGTATATGTGGTAAAGGCATTTTAGAACAAGGAATTTCTGTGTGTCCAAACAATATCAATAAAGAAAAAAGATTTGCAACATTTGAAGAGTAGCCACACTACATGAGGAAATACCAACATTCACTCAGAAACAGATGTTGAGCAATGTTGTGCGTGCGTGAGAACTTTGGTAAAGGCTTTGAACCACAGCCCGGGTTTGGGGTGGGGACACAGAATGGCCAGTAACCTGGCTGGAGGCCAGCCCAGGACCTGCTCACCCCACTCCCTGCCTAGCATTTAGCAGGTATGTGCCATGTGTGCGCTTGTGTACACATATGTGTGTGCGTGTATACACACACATGCACACACGGCTAGCCCGTCTTCCCTCCTCCCCAGCAGGAGAACAGCTCTGCAAGGTGGGCATTTGTCTTTTGGCTTCGTGCTGTGCTCCCAGCAACTCAGCACAGGGCACACAGAGTGTAAAAATTTGATTTTCAGTGTAAGACGAATTTTTCATTTCTAAGGGAATTTTTTATTTTGAGTGTGGTATTCATCATGAAAGTGATCCTAAAGAGTTCTGATGCAATTTTGATTTCTTACAGAATGCCAATTCCTGTCCAGTTGATCGAACTATATTTAAATGTATCTGTATTCGAGCTCGGTTTGGTGGTAAAATCTTGAAGAAGGTAAGTGTAGATGCTGTGCTACAGGCACCCCTCGCCGCACCATGTCGTGTCAGTCCCTGTCTGTTGGGAGAACGTTCTCTCACAGGGTGATTTGTGCTCCTGCAGTGAGTAAATACTGGTTATCTGGAGCCCGAACGCGAACGCCAGAAGCAGCCAGAGGGGGCGCACGTGGCCCGTCTCTCCCCCGGCCTCCCCTCTCCACGTGCCCTCTCTGCAGCTCACAGCTTCTCTTAAGCGGCGACAGCCCCGGTGGGGGGGGAGGGAGGCCAGCCCCCCCGGGGAGGACGCCCTTGTCTGACGGTGCTGGGCAGGGCGGGGCTGTGTGTGAGGGGGGCTGGGCACAGGAAGGGGCTCTCCTTTGTTCTTCGGTGCCGGCTTCCTGTTCGGTCTGTTGTTGAGGAGCCTCATGGAGCCTCAGAGACAGGCCTGCGACATGTGTCCTGCAGCCGTAGACCTGCTGTTTTATTCACGGAGCATGTGGGCACGTGGCTCTTTGTGTGCAGATTGCTTGTGGGCTGGGCTGGAGGTGGCAGCTGTGCTTCTGCACACGTGGGCCTCTGTCACCTGTCCCAGATGCTGCTCTCCTTCCCTGGACCCTGGGCGTCCGTTTGCATGTAGGCGGTCTTCATGCCCCCGGGGCATCTGCCAGCCTAGCTGGTGGGCCCGAGCCTTTCCTGTGTGTGTGTCTGGGGGGGAGTCCAAGGGCCACAGGAACTAGCACAGTTGGAGAAGATCAGAGAGTGGCTCCAGGTCCAGCGCAGACGATGCAGGAGGCTGGGCAGGACCCTGAGCCGCCCCTCCCCCACCCCACCCTGCCCTTGGAATAAAGACAGAGCGAGTGCTCGGATGTGTGACCTGGGGGGCTGACACGGACAGAGAGAAGCATGGAGGCCGCTTTCTGTGGCTCTGGGGAGATGGGCAGGGGTTGGGGTGATGTCCTGTTGGAAGGAAGTGTATATAAAGACCTGGCGCGTCTCATGACCTGGATCACAGGACGGCTGCGTCCCCACACCTGCCTGTGGAGGGCTGCCAGCCGAGCGCAGTGGCACACTTGACCGCTGTGTTCCTCCACGGTTCTCTTCTATCCTGCTTCCCTCTTCATGTCTCCAGCGCTGCTGCCCTGGGGGTCCCCACCTGCTCGCCTTGTGGGACCTTTCTGCGGGTCATCTTTGTTCTCTGTTGAATTCGATTTTCCTCTCCTCGGACTGCCCACACGTGGTTGGCATGTGCATTTTGCAGAGCCTCCGGGGCTCACGGAGCCCATGTGGGTATCGAGAAGCCACTCTATGTGCTCTGCGTCGACCCAGCAGCCACACTTTGGGTTCGGGCTCTGCTTGTTGTGTGACCCGACGGGACTTTTCTGCTTTCAGATTCCAGTGGAGAACGCCAGAGCCAGACAGGATGAGGAGGAAGACCCCACTTTTTGCGAGGTGTGCGGCAGGAGCGACCGGGAAGACCGTCTGCTTCTCTGTGACGGCTGTGACGCGGGGTGAGCATGGGCTTCTCCCTGCGGCTTCTGCTTCTAAGGCAGACGAAGCCATGGCGCCCCCATCCCTGCCGAGCCCACCTTCTGAGACCAAATTTTTAAGTTAACCTGTTAGAGGGAAGTCGCACAGGCCTGCTGTTCTGTGCTTCGTGCCCACGGATCTTCTCTGCCATGCTCAGGAAGGCCACGCCTCTGGTATTTGGAACACTGTGTCCCAGGCTCTTCTATTCCCGCTATTTATACCTTCTACCTGTTCCCCCCAAGGTATCCTGAAGTGACTTACAAAGATGCACATAATGCATCAAGATTGAGAAAGGTGAGGGACACGTGAGAAGTTGGGGCTGAGGACCCAGAGAAGGACTTGTGCAGGACCCCTGCTTTCTGTGAGGCCAGGTGACCCTGTGTCCAGCAGGCCCAGGTTCCTTCCAGCACATTCCTCTTCTCAGTGAGCCATCGCTAGGTGTCTGAGGAATTTCTCTGCCATAAGGTTGTGGTAAGAGGGCTGTAGAAACTTCTCCTTTGGGGCACAAGTGGCAGTGAGAGAATCCTGGGAGGCTGGTAGGTCTGGAATTTTCTCTTGGGTAACAGGTAGCCCTTTTGAGGGCTGAGCTGAGAGGCAGCAGGAGGCAGGAAGCATAAAGCTCTGGTGGCTCAGAGCCTATCCCGGAAGCACAGAATTTGTTCCCTTTGACCCCTGACCGGGGCCCGCCTACCCGGTGCCTCCCTCCCCAGACAGATGCCATGTGCCTTTATCTTCCTAAGGCACCTCCCAGGGGCCTCCCTCTCCAGTCCCACTTCTCGGCTCATACACACACTGTCTGGTCTCCCTTCTTGCAAGCCTCTGTCTGTACGCCTGCTGGATGAATGCTACAGTGTGGGGTCCCTGGGAGTTGCCGTGTCTGATGGCTTCTGGTCACTGGTTGCTGTGAGTCTGGAGGACAGGAGAGTGGTGCCTTGGGTGACTGGACGGAGCCAGTGCCTGCTCTTGCCATCCCTGTGCTAATTTACTGATGGAGTTGAATGGAGGCAGAAAGCTAAAGAAACACGGTCTCGTGGGGACCCAGGGCCAAGAGGGTAGCTTAGTTAGCACTCAGAACTCTGCTCACACCTAAAAAACAGATTCTCTCTGTGTTTGTGGCCATTCTGGGCATGTGAAGGAAGGGCCTAGGCCAGCCGGATGCTGCAGGAGAGGCCATTTGGGGTGGGAAGGCCTGCCTCTCGCCCTGGTCACTGGCCCTCCTTTGCAGCCCGTGGCCCCCCACCCAAATGCTAAACTTGTTTGCCTTCTCCTGGCCTTGAGCGTAGCACTCAAAGTACAGAAAAATTCTGTTAGATATAAAATACTAGAACTGTCAAGTGTAGATCTTAAATATTCAAACATCCTCATACTGTTAATATTTGCAGTCTGCTCAATTTTTTTAAATGTTTATTTATTTTTGAGAGAGAGATAGAGACAGAGTGTGAGCTGGGGGAGGGTAGAGAGCGAGGGAGACACAGAATCCAAAGCAGGTTCCAGGCTCTGAGCTGACAGCACAGATCCTGATGTGGGGCTCAAACTCACAAACCATGGGTCATGACCTGAGCCGAGGTCAGACGCTTCACCAGCTGAGCCACCCAGGCGCCCCTGCAGTCTGCTCAATTTTTGTAACAGTTATTTTCTAACTTAAGAATCAATTCTGAAATTCCTCCACTGTTCTTCAGAAAATGGAATCCTAAGGCTTTCTATAGATAACAGGAATATGCCAGATCCTTTCACTGTTACAGAAAATAAGGTAAAGATCATCTCTGATTTTTCAAACTTGTCTGCTTATCATGAGGTTCAGTGACTAGGAAAACAGTAGCCACATAGCCTTGGCTGTCCTTGCTGGGTAGGCGGTCCGTTCTCAGTGGCTGCGGCTGCTGGGCAGAGTAGTGTGCCTGGCACGGGAGCTATGCCCCCATCCTCTTGAGCATCTTGTGGCCCTCCCTGAGTGAGTCCACAAGCAGTCTACCCCGTGGGGTGACTCCTGGACATGGGCTGGGCACCGGTCACCATGCACCGGTGGCCTCTGCTCGAGGCTCAGAGTTGGTGTGAGAACGTAGGGTGACCCATGTTGAATCTGTGGATGATTTGTGAGATTTTGTTCCTGAGACCATGAGGGGAGGGTCTTCTGAGACTGGAATCTACTTGGGGTTTTGGGGTGCTCCCTAGGACTTGATGCTGGCCTGGGTTACATTCCAGGAGGGGTCCCCCTTCCTTCCTTGTGGTCCTCATGTGAGGTCCTGGCAAGGGGTTCACAGAGTGAGGGTTTCCACCTGGCGTCCTGGGTCCCTGGGTCTTCGTATGTCAGCATCATGAGCAGCATCCATGGTCATTAAACGGGGTTGAGTCTGCTCCCAGGTCTGCAGGCATTTGGCAGGGTGTCTGCATGGGTTTTTGCCTGGCTCGGGGCTGTCTGCGGGATTGGGGTGAAGTTTGGAGAAGGCTGCTGTGCCAGCAGTGACTCTTCCCAGGCTGCTTTCCATGAAGACTGGATAGAAGCACCTGGAAAACCATGGTTGGGCAACATTTCCGTTTACTTTCAGCACATAGAACCTCACTCCCCAGCCCCCCGTCCTCCACCCCAAGCTTCTCAGACTGGATTGTGAAGTGTAAGGTGTCAGCCCTTGAAACTCTTGGGGCTGCTGAGTGACAGTGGGGTGAGGGAAGGGCAAGCTGACGTCTGCCAACCAGAGATGAGCCTCCAGGTACAGGCAGGCGTGAGACCCCTGCCACCGACATCTGCGGAGCCCCCACAGGATGCAGCGGCCCTGGTCAAGTGGCCACTTTCTTAGCTCAGTCCCTCCACGTAGTGTGTCTCTCCTGTGGGGCTCAGGCCATCGGGGCCGTTTTGGGGAGCAGAGGTGCCCAGCACGCCCGTGGGAAGGACTGCAGGAACATTAGGAGCCAGGGGTCTCCCGTCTGCATGTGGGGCTCTGAGCAGGCAACCTGCGCCATGTCCTCCGGGTAGGTTCCAGGGTGCCTCAGGGTCAGGCTCTGGGAGACTTCAGGCTGCCAGCAGTGCCTGCTTGCTGTGTGCTTGTGGCCTTCCCTCTGCTGGGGACAAGGGGCTCTGGGTCCCTCCCTTTCCTTAAGACCTGGGTCCATGGTTCAGGGCCCCACCGTCATGACCTCATTTAAACCGCCCCCCCCCAACTTCCCCAAGACCGCATCTCCAAATACAGTTACACTGGGCGTTCTCTTTCGGGGCACACAGTTTGGTTTATAGCAGGGTGCATGGCGGCCTTGGGGCACGTTTGGATGACTTTTGTGGCCCGCTCAGCTGTAGCAGGGGGGCTGACGCTTGTTTGCCACCTCTTGTTCCGTAGGTACCACATGGAGTGTCTGGATCCTCCTCTCCAGGAGGTGCCAGTGGATGAATGGTTCTGTCCTGAATGTGCTGCCCCTGGCTCTGCTCCTGCCGCTGGTAATGCCTCCTTCTCGGGCAGGGAGCAGTGAGGGAGAGCTCCGCCTCAGGGAGTGCGGGGCAGGGGGCTCTGGTCTCATGGGGGCACCGCCTCCCTCTCAGGCAGGGAGTGCTGCGGGGAAGCATCGGGGAAGCATCGTTTCCCTCTCAGGGAGTGCTGGGACCGGGAAGGGTGCTTCTGGTCTCGTGAGAGAACTTGCAGGGCTCTCGGGCAGTGCAGCCCAGACTCCAGGGAGAGCCCCCCTGCCAGGGTAGGGGTGTGGCAGCTCCACATCAGTCCAGGGTTTTCTTTTTTCCCAGATGCAGGTCCTGTGAGCGAGGAGGAGGTCTCCCTGCTCTTGGCGGATGTGGTGCCCACCACCAGCCGGCTTCGGCCTCACACGGGGAGGACCCGTGCCATTGCCAGGACACGGCAGAGCGAGAGAGTCCGAGCGACTGTGAACCGGAATCGGATCTCCACCGCCAGGAGAATCCAGGTGGGCGCATGTGACTGCCGGTCCCGCTGCGGGGCCACTCCTGGCTCAGCCCCTCTGGACACTGACCCCCCGTCTTGGTGCACCTTGGCTGTGCGAGTGCTCTGGGCAGCGGGTACACGGAGGGCTGCTGTCAGCAAGGTGGGGCCTGCGAGGGCCACGGTGTGCGCTTCAGGGCGCTGTGCCCCGGCTGCTGTGCGGGGGGCGGAACCCAGCAGGCCCGAGGGAGCACGAGCAGAGAAGGAGGGTCCCGCAGCGGCCCGCCTGTCGTCCCCCCAGTGTGCACCCTGTGCCATGCTGCTTTTCTGTAGCAACAGCAGCCGGGGGCAGGGGGGCCTCTCAGAGGTCGGGGTGCTCACCCAGGGGTGCTCAGCTGATGGGGAGGGGTCGGAGGGCTTTGTGGGGGCATGCGCCCCATGCCCCCATCGCTGATGCCTGCAGCCCCTCCTCACCACCCCCGTCTCCACCTGGTGCCCTGCAGCTGCTGTTCCCTGTCTCCCGAGCCCATTCTCTGTATCTGTGCCGTGTGGCTCTGCACCAGCACAGTGCCCTGTCTTGTCGGCGTCCGATGTGTCGTTCGCTCCGTGTGACCAGCTTGGTCCTCACTCTTTGTTCTCGCCCTGAACTTGCTTCTCAGGAGGACCTCCTGGGCCCTGTTGTGCCCGCGGGAAGCTCTCGGTAGCGGGTCCACTGCTTCCAGGCCATGGCCGCCCGGCTTCTGCGGTTAGCCTGGCAGTGGCAGGGGTGGAGCTGACCCTCCAGGGCTCCCAGGTGGGGCACAGCGGGTGGCATGGGCAGCCTGAGGGCGGTCGCCCTGCTGACAGCACCCTCCTTCCCGTGTAGCATGTCCCACGGTACCTCATGTCTTCTCTGCTGGATGAGACCATTGAGGCTGTCGCTGCCGGTCTGAGCACTGCTGTGTACCAGCGCCCCGTGGCACCCCGTGTCCCTGCAAAACGCAGGAGAAGAGCAGGTAAGCCCAGGTGTGCTGGCTTGGTGAGGGCCACGCGCTCACCCCCCAGGAGTGCCCCCAGAGCCACTTCTGCCCCCGTCACCTGGTCTCTTCAAGTAGCAGAAACGCCACACAGACATTCCATGGGCCAGCTGGGTCCTGTCCACATGTTCCTTGTGAACACCCGCTGTGGGCGGTGAGGTCCCTGCGGCCCAAGTTCTCTGCATGTGCATCAGGGCCACTTGGCCTCCGTGATATTGGATAGGAAGCTTCTCCAGAAGGATTTTGTGGCAGAATTGCCCTTTTTTTCCCTAAATGCCACACTACACCAGGACGACCCAGATTCTGGGCTTTTCTGTGTGGGAGTAATTAGAATGATTAATTCATTGTTTTCTTGCTACGTTCTCTGAGCTCTGGGTTTAGTTGGTGCTGTGCTCCCACGGGGAGCTTCCCTTCTCCCCCTCGGTTATGTGTAAGCCCGTGTGGCCTCACAGATTCCTGTTTTATTCAGTAGCTTATGATCGGAGGTCTCTTAAAGTCAGCTTTATTGAGATAGAGTGCGGTACGTGCATCCACTCTGAGTGCTTCTAGGTTTGACAGACATGACGTCCATCTGCTTGGTCCTGCCCCTCCTGGCTCCAGCCAGACAGCCCTGGTGTCCTTAGCACTGGACGTCAGTTTTGCCTGGTTTCAGACTTCACATAACAAGACCTTCACGAGGCACTGAGTGTGGTCTGGCTTGTCGCTCAGAGTGTGTGGTTGTGTGTGCTAGTGATGGGCTGGCTTCTGCTTGTTGTTGAGGGGCCTCCCCATGACACGAAAAGCCTGCAGTTTGTTTATCCCCTTTCCCGTCAAGGGTCAGTTTTGTGTTCTGATTGGGGCCGTGAAGGACCAGGATGCGGAGTTCTGCCCGTCCTTGCACCCATCTCCTGGTGGCAGGGCTTCATTTGTCTCCGGCCAGCGCAGGGCCCGACTTCTGGCGCGCCGGGTAAATGTGCCTCCAGGGTCACGCCAACTTTGTACCCGTCGGCAGCCTGAGAGCCGGAGTGCTGCGCGGTCTCGCCGGCGCTGGGTGCAGTCGGCGTGCGTCCTCACCACGCCAGCGCGCCTCCTTGTGACTCGGTGTGTGTTGGATGCGCCCCACCGTGCCCTGTGTCCCCCACCGTTGGGGCAGAGACTCGGTGCTGTCCCAGACTCCTGTGTCTACGTGCCCTCTGTGGCCTCTCCCCCCTCTGCCAAAGCAGGACTCAGGATAGCGAACTGAGTTCCCTGAGAGTTCTCGGCCAGTGCTCGGTCAGCGTTCCCGGCCCGTTCCGGTGGGTGGAGCTGGGGAATCCATGCCAAGGTCGTACGGTTCTTGAGTAAGGACTCAGGGTTATAAAGGGTTTTCTGGGTCTCCTCGCATCAGAAACCCGACTCTTTGGGGCTCACACCGTGCCTGCTCGCGGCTTCTCTAGGGTCATGGCTGGGTCCTGCCAGCGCTGCGCAGGCGGGATTGCAGGGGACCTCCTCTGTCCCTCACATCCCCCACTAAGCACCTGGCACACGTGCACTGCCAGTGTTCGGGCATCTGAGCAGATCCGTGCTGAGTTGTGCCTCTTTGCTGTGTTTTGGTTGTATTTTGTTGGCTTTGTAGTGAGTTCTTATGCATTTTCCAGATTTTTGTCAAAGCTGTGGAAACATTGGGAGGAATGAATAGAGTCCCCACTTAGCCGGCCTGCTACCTGGCTTTGGCCTCACTCTCCCCCCGCTCACCTGCTCCCTCCCATGTGACCTGGTTGCACCTCTTTCATGTCTTTTTTTTTTTTCTTCTTTTTTTCCTTTCTAAATCCTTTCCTGTATTAAAAAATTATTTTATGTTTTTATTTATTTTTGAGAGAGAGAGAGACAGCATGAGTTGGAGAGGAACAAAGAGAGAGAGGAGGAGACACAATGTGAAGCAGCTCTAGGCTCTGAGCTGTCAGCGCAGAGCCCAACGCAGGGCTCGAACCCACGAACTGTGAGATCATGACCTGAGCTGAAGTCAGACGTTTAACCGACTGAGCCACTCAGTCTCCTCTTTAATTATATTTTTAATGTTTATTTTTGAGAGAGCACGAGCAGGAGGCGGGGAGGGGCAGAAAGACACAGGACCCAAGCAGGCTCCAGGCCCCAAACTGTCAGCATAGAGCCCGATGCAGGGCTCAAACTCATGAACTGTGGGATCGTGACCTGAGCTGAAGTCAGCACTCAACCAACTGAGCCATCCAGGTGCCCTTTTATTATTATTATTTTTTAACGTTTATATATTTTTGAGACAGAGCATGAGCAGGGGAGAGGCAGAGAGAGAGGGAGTCACAGAATCTGAAACAGGTTCCAGGCTCCCAGCTGTCAGCACAGAGCGTAACACAGGGCTTGAACTCACAAACCATGAGATCATGGCCTGAACTGAAGTTGGACACTTAACCAACTTGAGCCACCCAGGTGCCCCTGTTTTTTTTTCTTTTAAGTTAAGCATGGTATCGTCGTTGCACCTGAGAAGGGGAACGTAATTCCTTAACGCTGTGAAATAGTCTATTAGTGTTGGGTTCTAATTGTGTCGTAAGTGGGGGCACCTGGGTGGCTCAGTCAGTTAAGTGTCTGACTTCGGCTCGGGTCATGATCTCTAGGTTCGTGGGTTCGAGCCCCACATCGGGCTCTGTGCTGGCAGCTCAGAGTCTGGAGCCTGCTTCCAATTCTGTGTCTCCCTCTCTCTCTCTGACCCTGCCTCGCTCACACTCTATTTCTCTCTCTCTCTCTCAAAAATAAATAAAAACGTTAAAAAAAAAAAACTAATTGTGTCGTAAATATGGTAGAATATATTATTTTATAAAATAAATATTCATTAAAATATATTCAAATATAAATTCAAATACATTTAAAAATAATAAAATATATTCAAATATATTTTTAAAATAATATATTTGAATCTAGAGCCAAACAAGATCCACGGTACACTGGCAGCAGGCCTGGTAAGTGTCTGTGTTGTCTCAATGGGGACACCAAGCCGCCACAGGGGGCCACTCCCTGGCAGGCAGCCCGCAGGCCACCCTCGCCTGCCTGCAGCCTGGTGGTGGAGCTGCGGGTCACTGAGCTGTTTGCCAGCCGCCTGGGGGAGCAGCAATGACTGCTGGGCCTGGTTGTGGTGTCTGTGCTCAGCGCTCAGACCTGCGCTCGCACCGAGGAAGGGGCCGAGGGACCTTCCTCCTCCTCTGGCTGCTTCCCACTCCTGTGGTTTCTATGGACAAAGCACATTAAGGCCTTGGCTTGTTTCCTTTCTCAGAAGCCCTGAGTGGCAGCAGCCTCCTTCAGCAGGGATCACTTGGGGATTTAGCACCATGGTGAACTCAGGGATGTAGATACATTCTATGTGTTTTAATTGCAGACGCCATGAGGGCCGATCCCTCTGTCTCCTTGGAATCCCTGCCTTCCAGGCTGAGGCCCCTGTGGTTTTCCAGGGGGTGTTAGAGTATCCTAGAATTAGGGTCCCCCGAGCCCGTAGTGGCACCCCTGAGGGGACGGACCGGCCTGAAGCCTGGATGTTGGTGGTCTGAATCTCTGGGATGTGTTACTAGATACATGTGCCGGTTTTTAAGTCTGCTGGGAGAGGCCACGCAACTACGGACCTGGGGTTGTTTGTTTCATTATACTAACTAGACTGTCAGGGATTTTTCTGTTTTCCTCCCATTTAGTTTTGTGTCATAATAATGTAAAAAATTTATTGGTGATAAAAGTCAGATTTACAGATCAGAGTAGACTCCAAGGTCACACTTGTCCTCACTCTGCGCTGCGTTCCCTCTCTCGCTCCTCTGTGGGGAAGCACTGTTGTTTACGTCGTGTTACTTGTCCGTTTAAAAACCCCAGGCCACTACGTGAAGCTGTCTGTATGCTGGGGCGTGGCGGTGTACAGCGTCTCAAAGGGAGACACCCAGAGGAGGGCTGGGAGCCTCCGGGCTCGCAATGAGGCACAGACTCTCGATGTCCTCTTTGTAGGAAGGCGGAAGAAAGTGTCGGGAAGAAGGAAGACCCAGTCCAGGTCATCTGTGAAGAGCAGGGGATCCGGGACAAGGTCTAAGAAACGTCAGGGTCGCGCCAAGAAGAGAAAAGGGAAAAAGTCAAAGGTAGCCCCTTGGATAGCAGGTGGTGGGACTTTCAGAAAAAGCTTCCTTTCTGTGTTTAGAGATTCACCAATAAAAATGAACATTTTCTGCAGCAGAGATTAAAGATGGGGCTAGGACAGGAATTTTGCCAGGACCCTTCGGAGCCAGGTGTCCTGAGGGGTCGTGTGTGGCTCCGGGCACCCCAGGGTTGGGCCCTGTGGGGTGCAGGGGGACAGACGGGCCAGAGGGTAGGGAGTAGGTCACCTGTGGACACCGTCCACTTCAGGCCGTTCCTCATACTTACTCGCTTGCCTGCCACAGGCCTTCTGAGCGTGCGGGCCTCCCCCACGTGTGCACTGCCCAGTGTGTGCGCCTCCACTGAGTGTGCAGGCCTCCCCCGCGTGTGCACAGCCTGTGTTGTGCACCCTGCTCTGCGGTGCTCTGTCTCGCTCCCGCTCCCAGGCTGGACAGTTGAAGCGCACCAGTACATGAAGCATAGAAAGTTCAACTGGCCATCGTTCACGTGTTCACCGCTTCCATATGCTTTCTGCGCCCAGTTAACGTGAACGCGTGTGGGGTGCACGCACACGACCGTCCGTGCTAGTTTTCAGCGGAGCACTGACCTCTGCTGTGGCAGTTCACTGGGGCAGGACTGCTGGGGGGCGGGAAGCCGGGTGGTGGCCGCGTGTGGCTGTTGGCATTCCTCCTGCCGGGGTGCCTGCCCCAGGGGCTGCTGCCTGCGCCTGTCCCCCCAGCCCTCCTCCTCAGGTGGACATCACCTGGGTGGTGGTTTTGCGTGGCGTGGTTTGGGGCTGTAGGGATGTAGTCCTCAACTCTGTCGAGAAACCTCTGAGACGTTATCGCTGACTCCCTTTGGTTTGGCGTTTATTCAGTCCAGTGCATGGTGTGCGGACGGGTGCTTGGACTGGCGTTTCTGGAGCCTTGTTTGCCATTCTTGTCCTTTTGTGACTTTGCTTCAGAATGAAGCCACAGCTCGGTCCCGCATCGCACGGACGCTGGGCCTCCGGGGTCCAGTCCGCGGGGCTTGCATCCCATCGGTGCACAAGCCAGCGGACCCCTCTCTCGGGCTGATGCGTGCGGACATCGGAGTAGCCTCTCTGTCGCTCTTTGGAGACCCCTATGAGCTGGACCCCTTTGACAGGTAACCACAGCGGGGACGTCCCCCCCTCTCTTCACGGACAGTGGGCCTCAGAGCCCACATTTGTGCAGTGAGGGTGATGGTTTCTGAGTCTCCAGCCCCGTCAGACCCCCCAGCGGTGCACAGAAAGGACACTGTAGCCCCCGCTACTACAACCACGAAGTCGCTCTGTGGGTCCCACATTGCTTTGGGGCACAGGTGCTGCCATGTGTGCGGGGCGGGGGGGTCTCCCCGGTCTTCCGTGGGGGTCACGGCTCCTGGCCCGTGTGCTCTCTCCAGCAGTGAGGAGCAGGCTGCGGACCCCGCTTCCCCTCTGAGCGCCAAGAGGAGGGTTCTGTCCCAGTCGGCGCTGCGCTCCCACCGGCCCGTGGCCAGGCCCGTGTCCATGGGGCTCTCCAGGTGTGTGCCAGCGGGGACAGTGGTCCTGGGGGGGGCACACAGCCCTGTGGGGGCAGGCACGCCTCCCTTCCCAGGGGCCCTCCCTGGCTGTTTGTTGAGGACGTGCTATGGTCAGGGGCACGGGGAGCAGGAGGCAGGCCGCGTGTGCTGCAGGCGGCTCCTGATGCCCGTCTCCGCCACGGAGCTGCCGTTCGGTGCAGCCGCCCCTGGCAGGGTTTCTTCCTTCTGTTTCACTCCTGATTGAAAAAAACAACAACAACAAAGAACCAAACCCAACGAAACCAGTAAATAGCCGGTCTCGGTGGTTGGGGCCAGAAGCACCGGGTGATCTCACCTCCAGACAACCTGCTTGCTGGTCTTTTGTCAGAGCCACTCGCGGTGGGGAGGGTGTCTTATGCCTTCCCCATGCCAGGGTCTGGCAGGCGGCCCCTTGGAGTGAGGCAGCAAGACTTGGGGGGCGGCAGGGGGCGCAGGGAGGCAGCAGTGGGTCTGTATCTGCAGGAGGGGTGTTCCCGCTGTGGCACCCGAACCAGAGGTGGATGAGGCCCCCGTCCCTGACCTGGTGGGGAGCATCCTGTCGGGCCAGAGCCTCCTGATGATGAACGGTGCGGACATCACCATCCACCGGGACGGCTCCCTCAGTGCCAAGAAGGCAGGTGAGGAGGCCCCTGCGCGATGTCCTCTCTGCTTCAGCGCTTTGGGAGCCCTGGGAGGTTGACCCATTGGTTCCCAGCTTCTGATGAGATCATTGAACTAAAATTTGTTTTCTGCTCAAAACGTACCTGAAGCAATAGTTTCCTGCAAGAAGTCGTGTTTCCGTTAATTCGACTTCGCTTTCTGAACAGAGTTTACAGGCTGATAGTTTAGGTGATGGTGGGGTCTCCAGGCAGCCCACAGACCCTGCGTGGCTGTGACGTGGCTGGCGTGCATTCTCACAGAGCCACGGAACCAGCCTCTGTGGAGCCCTTCCCCGCACATCTGGGCCCTGGAAGGTGTTAGGGTTGGGGGTGCCCAGCCATGGGGCACAGGGCACCACAGATGGGTAATGGGTACAGGCGCTTCCCATTGGCCAGTGAGTGGTGCTCATGGGTGTAGCCAGGGACCCCTCGCCCCGTGCCCCCAGGAGCGTGCTGCTCATGGCTGTAGCCGGGGACCCCTCGCCCCTAGGAGCACAGGGCTCCAGCCCAAGGAGCCAGTAAGGGTAGGAATTTAAAAGCCTAATTTCTGAGGGAAAGCTGTCTGTATCCGGGCTAACAAAATGACCACTTTGTAAAGGAGGCAGTGGGAACTGACGGCCACTCACCCTCATGTCTTTCAGCACCCGTTTCCTTCCCGAGAAGCTCCGGTGCTCCGTCCCGAGGCGGCAGAGGCCCTGGGGCCTGCCTGCAGCCCAGAGCGCCATGCCCAGGCAGTGGGCTCCAGAGTGGGGGTCTGCACTGCCACAGCGGGCCCACCCCCTCCTGCGTCCCCGCTCTCACCCCAGGGGCAGCCGTGAGACTGGACTCCTCTGCGACTCCTCTGTCAGGTCAGGCTCAGAACCTGTCAAACGTAAGTGGGCCTGGCTTAAAGCACAGTGACGCCCCCCGATGTGACAGAGACGGCAGGCATGCCCCGCCCCTTAGTTCTGTGCCCTCTAAGATCTCGGGTAGCTGCTCTCACTCGCCGCACATCAGCACACTGCTAGGACAGGCCGTGAAGCCAGCTCCCAGGAGGCCCAGCATCTCAGAGCTGCCCAGGATACCGAAGGTCAGAAGGGAGGACGGCGGCGGCGGGCGGGCGGATGCGGCCCCCGCCAGCGAGCAGCGCGTTGAGATCCCCAGCTCCTGCATCAGCCGCCTCACGGGCAGGGAAGGCCCTGGGCAGCCCGGCCACAGTGCCCGAGCGGAGGGCGAGCCCAGCAGCAGGGGCCCACAGGAGCCTGGCACGCGCTCAGGGGGCGGCTCCCAGTCCCCCGCCACACTGGGACCCTCAAAGGGGAAGGGTGTCAGCTCAACCTTCGAGAGCTTCAGGATCAATATTCCCGGGAACACGGCGCACTCCGGCAGACTCTCCAACCCTGGCTTTTGTAACACGTTCCGGCCTGTGGACAATAAGGTGCAGAGGAAAGAGAACCCCTCTCCCCTCTTCTCCATCAGGAAGACCAAGCAGCTCAAGAGTGAGATCTACGACCCCTTTGATCCCACGGGCTCCGACTCCAGTTCCGCCGGCAGCAGCCCCGAGCGCCTGGGCTCTGGCCTCCTGCCTTCTGAGATCACGCGCACCATCTCCATCAACAGCCCAAAGGCCCCAGCGTTGCAGACGGTGCGCTGTGTCACTTCCTACACGGTGGAAACTGTCTTCGGGACAGAGCCTGAGTCCCCTCGCGGGCCTTCCTCCGGTGCGCTCGAACTCCGGGGCGAGGGGGCTGCCGAGGGGCTGGGCAAGGCAGCCACTGAGGGCCAGGGTGCAGCCTCCAGGGCACAGAGGCCGTCCCCGCCGGAGCCGTGGGAGGACAAGGACCGGCTGCCCTGCAGCACCTTCTTTGGCTCAGAGGAGCGGACAGTGACCTGTGTGACCGATGCAGAGCCGGAGGCACCGCCCAGCCCAGACGCTGCGCAGACAACTACCCACAGGGTCGTGGAGCTGAGGTCCCCGTCCTGCTCCCGCTCCACATCCAGCTCCCGCGGCAGGAAGAAGGCCAAGAGGAAGCGGGCTGAGGCCAGGGAGCACAGGAGGACCCGCTCAGGCTCCCGCTCAGGCTCCCGCTCCGGGGACAGGAGCTCGCGATCGGGGTCGCCGCCAGTGGGTGAAGACCACCCCAAGAGGTCGCAGCCCAAGGCTCGGGGCCGGAGGTCCTCCAGTGACCACTCTAGCAGCCACGAGCGAGCCAAGCGGAAGAAGGCGAAGGATGAGGGCCGGAGGAGGAGGAGAGACTCCTGGGGCCGCGGCCGGCGGCGGTCACGGTCACGGTCACGGTCCCGCTCAGGCAGTCCCGGCAGCTCCTCCCACGAACGCAGGGAGAGCAGGAGGAGGAAGCGGAGGCGGTCAGGGTCCAGGTCTCGTGGGAGGGAATGCTCCCCCACCAGCAGCCTGGAGAGGGCCCGGAGGCACCGGCATGCAAGGGAGAGGAGCCCCCGGGAGCGGCCCCGCGTCAGGTGGAGCTCCCGGGAGCGGAGGAAGCGCAAGTCCGGGTCGCCAAGGTCGCCAAGCACAGAGCACAGGTCCCGGGAGCACCAGCGGCCTCGTTCCCATGAGAAGCGGCCGAGGCCTCGCTCTCCAGAGAGGAAGTTGGCGCCCCCTCCCCAGGAGGAGCAGAAGGCCGACAGGGAGCAGCCAGCCGGGCCGCCGGCCTCCGAGGGCGCAGACGCCTCTCCAGCAGGGGCCGAGGCCCACCCGGAGGCTCCGGACATGCCAGTGGAGTGTCCGCCCGAGGACCTCGATTACGGTGATTCTGTCGAGGCAGGACACGTCTTCGAGGATTTTTCAACAGACGCGTTCTTCATGCAGCTTGATGACATGAGCTCCCCGCCCTCTCCAGAGAGCACAGATTCCTCCCCAGAGCGAGACTTCCCACCCAATCCTGTGGCGCCCCCGGCCAGCCAGCAGCAGGACACCAACCTGGTGGCTGTCATCAGACGCGAGGTGTCACTGATCCACGACGAAGATGCTGCACAGCCCCCGCCCCGGGCTCAGGGCTCCCAGGACAAGCCCTTGCTCCAGCAGGACGCGGCTGTGGCTGCCACGGTGGCGCCCAGCACCCTGGGAAGCCAGGCTGTACCTGGGGTGCCTGCGGGGAAGGAGGAAGGACCCTCTCAGACCCCCTTGCTGCGGGCGAAAGCCCTGGTGAAGAGAGTCACGTGGAACCTACAGGAGGCGGAGGGTGGCGCCCCTGCCGAGGACCGAGGCCTGCGTGAGTAGGCTGCTCCGGTGGGCCCTTGTGAGGGTGGCCGGGGGCAGCATGTGAGGATGGGGAGGGCCCGGAGTGGCCCCCAGCATGTGAGGGCGGCCTTCTCTCCCTGAGTGGCACTTGGAACTCTTTGGTCACTTCAGCAGCGTAGGCCATGGGGCAGGGAGGTGGCTGCAGCCTGGCCTGTGGTCCTTGCTGCTGGGATGCTTTCCTGGAATTTTCCGGCCAGGAAGCAGCCTCTGGCCCAGGGGTAACCACAGAGCACCCACCTCCCCTGTGTTGATCCTCAGGAACGCCGCTCCACAGGCCCCAGAAACCCCGGGAAGGGGTTTGGGAAACGGAAGACATGGGTCCCACGGTGGGGTTCCAGCAGGCACCCTTCTCTGAGCCTCCTGCCCCCAGCTATGCACACGCAGAGTCTGCCTTCCCCGACGTCGAGCCCTCTCAGGTGGGTGCCTGGGCTGGAGGGACACGGTCGTGTGCCAGGCCGCACAGACTGTGCCAGGCCGAGGCTGCGGGACTTTCCTCTCTGCCAGGGGTCTTCCAGCTGGGAGCCTCAGCTCTGCACTAAGCGGTCTGCGTTTTTGCCCAGGTTTATACCCCCAACCTGCCCCCCACCCCAGCCGTCCCCTTGAGTCTCCCGCCCTACGCGCCAGCCAGCCAGCCCACGGTCCAGTTCATCCTGCAGGGGAGCCTTCCCCTGGCGAGCTGCGGGGTTGCACAGAGCCCAGCCCCGGTGCCCACCGCCCTGACCACGGCCTCAGAGCCCGCCGGCCACACCACTGTCGCCGGCAACGCCGAGGAGAGAGCGGCCGCTCCTAAGCCTGCTGCGGAGAAAGCCAAGAATGAGGAGGTGAGTCCCGGCCCTCCTTCCTCCTCAGAGGGTGCTCCTGGGCTCTGCCCGCACACGCGGCCCCGGCGGGGTGGTCACAGGTGTCCTTGCTCCTAGTACATGAAGAAGCTGCACATGCAGGAGCGGGCGGTGGAGGAGGTGAAGCTGGCCATCAAGCCCTTCTATCAGAAGAGGGAGGTGACGAAGGACGAGTATAAGGATATCCTGCGCAAGGCGGTGCAGAAGGTGGGTGTGGGCGGGTGGACGCCACGCCCTGCTGCACTGTTGTGGGGGAGGGTCTGTGCCGTCTCCCATGGACATGGACTCTCAGGAAGGGGCTCCAGCCTGGGGCTGTGCAGCCAGAGGCCGTTTCTGTTCTCCTGTCACCGTAGCTCATCGGAAGAGTAGACATGGGTGTGTGTGAGGGGATGGCACAGTGTCCTTGTCACTGGTTAAAAAGGCTGAGTGGCAGAGAGTAGTTAGCTTACCACACTTGCGGCCGGGAGAAAGGCAGGACCCCGGCAGGTGCGCAGTTCTCAGGCCCAGGCGTCAGGTTCACGTCTGTGGCCCACTGGCTACACCTGTCCTGCTTGGAGAGGGACCCTGAGGAGTCGTGCAAGGCAGGCGGGTGTATGCGTGTCGTGATCTGTCCCTTGTGATGTGGACCCCGAGGGCCCATCATCAGCATGGGGACATCTGAGTAACCTGTGCCTCTCCCCCAACCCCAGATATGCCACAGCAAGAGTGGGGAGATCAACCCTGTGAAGGTGGCCAACCTGGTTAAGGCCTACGTGGACAAGTACAGGCACATGCGCAGACACAGGAGGGCAGAGGCCGGTGAGGAGGCGCCCCCCCAGAGCACCGAGAGCTGAGCCAGGCACAGAGTGGGGGGCGCCAGCCCTGTTCCCGAGGGACTCTGTTGGGAGAGGCGGGAGCAGAAAGGTTGGAGCCGCCCAGAACTCCTGTGGTCACACACGGTCTGCGCTCCTGTGTTGCTCACAGTTTAAAACCGGACTTTTTTATATGTATATTATAGATACACACTGTTTCCATGGTGTTCTAATTTATCAAAAATGGATTATCTTTAGAAACTTCTTGATTGACTCAGTATTTGAAAGGTGAAGCCTTTGGTGATCAGGAGGGGTCTGGGGGGAATGGACGGGGGCTCCCTGACCCAGCTTCCAGATGGCCTGATTTTCTTTTCTATCCTGGTAAGGGAAGGCCCTTCCCAGACTTTGTCTGTCATGCTCTGTAAGTGACGTCGTTAGCTGCCTCCCACGGGGCAGAGCACAGTGTTGGTGGATTAGGGAGGAAGGGGGGCCCTGCACACAGCACAGAGCCAGCCATTCACGTGTCCCCCTCCCTAGCACACCTGGCAGGCGCGAACACCTGCTGTCCCCAGAGCGTTTTGTATCCTGAGTAGAGTTTGTTGGCTCTAAAGCGTGTGGCCTGTTTCTTCATTGTGAAGACAGAAGAGAACGGGTGTATGGGTGGGTGCAGGGGTGGTCACCTCCCTTCCTGGGTGTGCGGGGTGAGCCCCAAAGTCTGGGGGGGCTCTTTCTGAACTCCAGCCCCAACCTTCAACCCACCCCTGGTCAGGACACGAGCACTGGTTCTTGAGTTGTTTTTATTGAACCAGGAGAGGGTTTAGGCAGGCTGCTCCACCTCCATGAGGAAGTGCTCCAGGGCCTCGTAGAGGCTGTTGCCGCTGGACAGGCAGAGGCCAAGGCTGGTGCTGTCCAGGGAGGACACCCCCTCTCGCTGCACGTGCTCCAGGTGTGCCCGGCACAGCCACGGCTCCAGCTGTGGGGAGGGTGTGGTCAGGCCGGGGGGGGGGGTGGCGGGGGGGGCACATGGGGCCCTGCCCCCAGGCCCCCGGCCCTCACCTTCACCAGGACCAGGCTCTTCTCTTTGGGCCTCCCAGCCGACAGGTCCTGCCCGAAGCCCAGGTAGATGGTGTAGTGCGGGGAGCCCCGACGCCGGCAAGCCCGGAACTCCACCAGCTCTGTAGGGCGGGGCTGTGGTGAGCGGGGCAGGGCAGGAGGGGGGCCTGGGAGCGCAACGGCCCTAAGTCGGGTACATCACTGACCTCGGAAGAAGGTGCTGAAGTCGAAGATGGGGGTGTCCTGGTTCCTTTGCAGCAGGCAGGGGGTTGTGGAGGGGCTGGCAGAGCCCAGGGGCCCGCCCACCTCCCAGTAGACCTTGCATTTGCCCAGGCGCCGGGCCCACAGCCTGGGGCCCCGGAGCTCCAGCTGCAGACCAGGGGCCACATGCTGCAAGAGCTTCTCTGTGTAGTGAAGCTGCTTCTGGTCTGGGAGCTCAGCCGGGCTCGGGAAGGCCACGTGCTGGGGCTCTGTGGCCTCCGCGGCTGGGCTTGGGGACCCATACAGAAACACGAAGCTTGGGTGCCCCACGGTCTCCTGCAGCACTGTGCGGCCCTTGTACATGATGGTCACATCCAGGGCCCCTAAGCTGGGCTCTGCCTGTAACCCGATCTGTGGGGGCTGCCCAGGCCCGGCCGAGACCTGTGCACCTGCCCTCCGGATGCCGGGTGCCACCTCCTGTGGCGGCTGCCAGGGTTCCAGGGCTGGGGCTGGGCCTGCATCTGGGGAGGAAGGCGGAAGCTGGCACCGGGTCCCCAGGCCCCTCCCTCCTTCATGCCCCGCCCCCCTGGCTCCTCTCACCTGTCACCTGGGCCTGGTGGGTGGCTTTAGGCCTGGGGCTGGGGGCCATCTCCAGCGCCCTAGGCAGGTATGGCTCCATGTCAGGGAGCTCTGGGCCTGAGGAGGGTGACCACAGAAACAGCTGTACGGGCCCAGCTGTGGCTGGCCCGGTCTCTACCCCTCCACCTCTCTCCACAAGGACTCTGTGGTCCTGCCGGCTCCTCCCCTTGGCACGGGGCCCTACAAGGCAGAGCACCCCACCCAATCCAGCCTCTCACCAGGAGCCTCCGGGGGGATGGGATCCAGCCCCCACGCAGCTTCCAGCAGATGGCCATCCAGGCAGCTCTGCTCTAGAGCCTGGAGCACCAGGTCCCCAGCACTGCCAGCGGGGCCAAAAGGGGAGCTTGGGGCACAGGGCTCCGAGCTCGGCCCGGGCCCCCACCTCTCAGCAGCAGATCCTGCCGGGCACGGCCTGAGGAGCTCACCCTGCAGGGGAAGAAGGGCCAGCGTAAGTGTCTCCCAGCTCCACTGAGGAGCGAGGTCCCCACCTGGGAGCAAGGAGGGCGAAGCACCCTTACCGTCAAGGGCCGGGCGTCGTCCCGGGCCTTCTGCCCTTGCTTAGCGCCTGGGGCTTCTGAGGGAGAACCAGGATGAGCCTCTGGAGTTGGGGACACTTGGGTATGGGTGCCCCCCCCCCACTGGTGCCAGCAGGCCACATCAGCTTTCCCCGCCCTCCCCAACAACCTGGCACCTGCCTCTTCCAGGCCAGTTTCGGAAACCACAGATCTGCCCCAGAGCCCATCTCCAGCACAGAGTGCCAGTGTGCCCGCTGCACCGCAGCTCTGCCCTGGACCTGCTGACTTCTGGGGGCTGCTCACCTCTCCACCCCAGCGCGGAGCTGAGTGCATACACCTTATGCGGGTCAGTGGGGTCCCCCGAGTTGTCTTGCAGCATCACAAAGCGCTGGGTGCTGTGCAGCGCACAGCGGAAGTTGGTTTTCCAGCTGGCGCGGAGTGGGCCTTCTGCAGCCAACTGGTCACCTCCGCCGCTGCTGGGCGGCCACCTGCCGCGGGCCACGGCCCAGGCCTGGCGATGGGGAAGAAGGTGTGAGCCCCAGGGGTGTGGGCCAGGATCTGGGCCGGCCCTCCCTCCAGGCTGGGCTCCCACCTTGAAGATGCGCGAATCTGCTTCTCCCAGGTCCTTCCGCGCAAAGTGCTTCCAGGGCACGCGGAAGCGCGTGCGGGCCGCGTCCAGCCACCGCAGCCCTTCGTAGCGGCCGCTGCCGACCTCCCCCAGAAGCCAGTCCGCGAAGAGCGGGCGCGGGGTCCCCCTGCGGGCGGAGCGACAGGCAGGGTCGGGGCGCGGGCGGCCAGGTGGCGTGGCCGCACCCCCTGGCGGTGGGACAGGCGCTCACCTCTCGGGAGCGGCGGCCATCGCTCCCTCGAAGCAGTGGCGCGGACAGGCGGGTGCGCCCGGTGCTGGGAGGGTTGCCCGCGGGCCACCGCAGCGTGGCCAGATGTCAAGGTGTTGGGGCCACAGAGGCGGGGGGAGGGCTGACGGCCACGACGTCGCCGAGGCGCGGGACTCCTGGCGGCGGTGGCGGTGGTGTGACCACAAATGTGCGGGCTACGTGCGGCGCGCACACATGAAGTCGCAGGTGTGGAGCCAGGGCCCAGGCGCGGGGCGAGGGCGCTGGCGGGGCCCTGCGGAGACACGGCGGCACGGTCGCTCGCGGGGGCGGGGGCGGGGGCGCCCCGGACGCCGCGGGAAAGCGAAACCGCGGGCGACAGGAAAGCGAAACCTAAACCGCCAGGGAGGGAGGGGGGCCCTCCGCCGCTCTCGGCCCCCACCGCCCGCCAGCCGCGTGCCCCCCACTTCCCAGTCCCGACCCGACTCCCCGGACCGGACCGTCCCCGTCGCCGCGGTGCGCTGCCCTGCCGACCCCACTCGTCCGCACGTACCCAGGAGCCGGGCCGCCGGGGCGGGAAGGTTCGTCTTCCCGAGAGGCTGGGACCCAGGGCTTTTATGGAGGCGGCGGGGGCGGGGCCGGGAGGGGGCGGGGCCGGGCCGGGAGGGGGCGGGGCGTGCTGCAGGTGCGGCCGAGAAGTCACGTGCTCTGTTCCCAGTCCGCTCGCAGCAGCGCTGGGGTGCAGGCGGGGGTCGTGGGGCGCGGCAGGAGGGGCTGGCCCTGCGGCGTCCGGTCACTCCTGTCCCTCAAGGCACATACGCACATGCCGGCCGCGCAGGGGGCCACTGGCAACTAGCGGGGTGGCCGGGTGGAGGGATAAGCTGGGGACCCCACACAAAACCAGACACTTCTTTTCTCGAGGAAAAGTGGGTAAAGGGGGACAACGTGGGGCATGCGGCAGCTGTGCGGTTTGGACTCTTGATGAGAATTGTTCAGACAAGAACACTCAAGTGCCCTTGAGAATAAGCATTTGCAAAGGAATTCGTGATGGTTTTTCATTAGGAAAAACACTGATGATCCAGAGACAATGGCGGTCAGAGAGGAAGTCCTGCCCGGGGTCCTCCCCTGGGAAAGCCAGTAGAGGGGGCTCTGTCCCCTTGTCCGTGGCCCCAGTTCCCCTCACAGCCATCCGCGCCCCCCCCCCCCCCCCGCCACGCTGGCCCACGGCTGGCAGCCTGCTCCCAGCTCCTGTCACCCTAGGCAGGCGGCTGCACATCCGCACAGAGTCACAGGCCACAGCCCAGACGCCAGGGCCAAGGGCCGCGGAGCACGGTGTTGACTTCCGGGCGGAGCCTCACAGGCACACTGGCTGTGACCCCCGGAAGATCCCGAGGGAACTTGCTCTCCAAAATGAGTGCTCCTGAGGGTGGCTCCTCAGGTTCCCCCAGGCCAAGAATCTGCATGTCAGGTCGGGAGGGGGGTATGTGGCGCCAGGGTGCCCCCACTTCCAGCCGCGGTTAGACCAGGAGAGGAACTGGGCCGCCAGCTGGCACTGGCCTGGGAAGCCCCACGGCTGGCAGGCACAGCAGGTGGTTTACGGGAAGCGGGCTGGGGCTGGGGCTTTACAAGAGGCAGGGGCTGAGCGACGACCCAGGAGCGGGGGCCGCGCCGTCACCTCCCACCAGCAGCAGCTCCATGGGGACCCTGCACCCCAGCCGCCCGTCGACTTGCCAGTGGTGCTTGGAAACTGTTGATTTATTGTGCACAGTGCGGTGGGGCGAGCAAGCAGCCGGCCAACCCCGGGGTGGGCCAGCGGGGAGGCCGGGGAGCCCAGCTAGATACAGGTGGAGCTAGCACTGTCGTAGGGACCCCCGCCCGGGCCCTGAGCCTCGTCACTGCTGTCCTCGCTGCCAGAGTCGGCGGCGTCAGCCACGTCTGACGTGGGCTCGTTGAGCACCACCACATCGGCTTCAGCCCCGATGTCCTCGCCAAACCACACCGCTTTGTAGCCGCCCTCCGGCCGCCGCTCCTTGGTCAGGATGGACCTTACGGCTGTGGGACTGCCCCCCTCCTGGGCCACCTCTGGGGACTCTGAGGCAGGGTCTAGGAATTTGATGCTGGGGGGCTCTGGGGGTTCAGGCTCCGGGGCCACAGCCAGGGTGGGGGCAGGTGAGGGGCTGGGAGCCGGCGCCCAGTTGGCCTCTTGGGGGGCACAGAAGGCCTGGTTGTCAAAGCTGGAGACCTGCGGCTCCTGGGGAGGGGACGGGAGCAACCTGGATGTCAATCAGGACCCCAGGCCTGGGCGGGGACCCACCCCTGGTGCCCTCCCCAGAGACAAGGATCCAGGCTCATCTTTCCCTTCTCTGCCCATTTCGGCCTCCTCCCCGATCTGTGGGCGCCTGTGTCTGCACCCTGTGCTCCTCGCCTCCCCCTGCTGCCCCTTCTCCCTCTCCCTCCGTCCCCCTCTCCGTCTTTCCTTGGCTCTGTCCTCACCTGCACAGCCCTGTCTCTGTGCCTTTCTTCCCCTGTCCCTGTCCTGTCTGGTCCCCTGACCCCCCTGGGGCCTCACCTGAGCTTTGCCAGAGCAGCACTTGAACCGGTGGCCGTAATGCTTGTGGACGAGGATCAGGAGTGCGATCAGAGCCAGGACCAGCAGCGCACCCAGCACCCCGCCCAGGGCCGCCATCTCCACGGAGGAGAAGCGCTGGTCCTCGGCGTGGCTGCCACCCGGCCCGCCGTCGCCCGCCGCGCCACCGCCTCCAGACCCTGGCGTCCCTGCCGGCAGCACCGCCACCCACTTACTGCCGGCGCCCGCACACCTCCTGCGCCATCCTGCGCCAGGCTCTGGGCGCCTCGCGCACGAGCCAGGCCTGGGCTTCTGGGGAATGGGCACTACTGACACGCCGACCAAGGGGCTGTGTTCCCAGGGGCCCTCGGGGGGCAAGGCCGCTGCAGGGAGGCATGGGAGGTGGGGTAGGGGCCCGCCAGCTACAAGCGGACAGCAGGGGTCAGCACCCTAGGAAGGGGGTTGAAGGCAGTGCCGGAGCCTAGAATCGTGGGGCCCCCCCGATCCCACATCTGGGTTCTGCCCCATCCTCCACACACCTTCCCAGTTTACCGCGTCTGGGCCCCCGAACCTGTCTCTGCCCCGACCAGAGCAGACCCCCGTGGGGCCTATGGCCGGCGTGGTCGTGCTGGGCCAGCCTGGGGTGGACCCTGCATACTGTCATTCCCAGGACCACTCACAGGATGAGTCAGGGGGCAGATGGGTGACTCTGGGGCAAACGGGAGGTGCTACCTGAGGGCTGGGGGGCCCCGCTGGGCCCAGGGGACATCGGCTGAGAGGTTCCTGGCTGCAGCATCTGTGTTGAGCCCCCGCTGGGTGAGGCTGGCGGGAGGGAGGTGCCGGTTCCCACACTGGGGGGCCTCCCAGGCGTAGATGAGGCAGGGGGCCTCAGAGTTGTGCCTGAGGGGGGGTGCGGGCTTGTGCCCCACCCAGAGCTGGTCGTGGAGGGCCCCTGAGAGGGCCCCGGGGGCCTGGGGGCTTCCGCAGTGGTGGCTCTGCTCGCTGTTCCTCCAGCTTCTGGGGATGTGGGGGGCTCTGGGGGGCCTGGGGGACCTGGGGGCCAGGGGCAGGACTCGGGCTTGCCTCTGTCCCCAGCATGCCTGCCTCAGGGAAGGCACCGCCCCGGCGGCAGAAAGTGCCCCCCAGCCGTCACCCAGGCTGCCCAGAGGCTCACCTGTGGGGGTGGGCGCCTCCGGCTCCAGGACCTGTATTTCCACCACTGTGCTTGCTACGTTTGCGGTCACTGTGTTCTTGGCCTCCACCTGGAGCAGAGAGGAGGCTTGTCCCTTGTCGGCCCCGCCTTAACCCTGCCCCTCAGAGATGCCCCCCTGCCCTTACCTCTGCATAGAAGACCCCCTTGTGTGCCATCAGGGCAGCAGTCAACAAGTGCTCGCCGTCCATCCGGAAGTTGGTGTTATTCGTGATACGGTAGGTGATGGCCGAGTTGAGGTCCTGGACACTGTCCCGGTGAGTCCTGGGCCCGGGCTGCCCCCCATGCCCCCCGACCCACCCACAGAGGGGCTGCTGCCTACCGGAAAGTCAGGGTCCCAGGCCCAGATCCTCAGAGGCTGGGAGGGGGAGGCCGCATCCCTGACCGGAACGCCTGCGCCAGAGCCGAGCGCCACGGTGCCGCGGTACCAGCTCTCGGGGAAGTGGAGCAGGCTCCCGTTGGCATTTCGGGCCTCGATCGTGACCTGGGTCACCGAGTAGCGGGCATGGTCCGCCTGCTCACCCTGGGGGGGGGGGGCCATGGTGACCAGCAGGTCCTGGAGCTCGGGAGGGGCCTGTGCAGGCCTGGCCAGGGGCCCACCTTGACCACCAGAGTGAAGATCTTCGGGCTGGGGACAGCCCTGCTCATGGTGAGGTTGCCCGAGTCAGCATCCACGACAAACGTGCCATCGTCTTGCTCTGCGAGGGCGGGGGGAGTGTCTGGCCTCTCGTTCCCTCTGGAGGCCTGAGGCCCAGCATCCCCGCTGACTCTCCCCACCTAGCAGGTGCCCGGGGGCTTCCTCCACTAACGGGGGGCGGGGATGGGGTCCCGGCCGCCGTGTGGGGAGAGAACCGGGGCCCTGGCACACACTCACCGCTCACGATGCTGTAGAGGATATGCTGGTTGATGCCCCAGTCCCCGTCCACGGCATAGATGGGCCCCGGACGCAGGATGAGGGGGTCCGGCTGCGGGGACCGGGACGAAGGAGGCACCATGGGGCTGGCGTGACAGCCCCAGCTCACTCCCCCCTGCTCCCCTTGAGGAGCCCAGCCTCTCACGACTGCTGGCCACATCCCTTGGGGCCCGACTGAGTTCATTTGCCCAATTCTGATCAGACTGATCTGAACAACTCGAGTTTCAAGAGGTCGCACACATGCGGGGCCGGGAGAGGTCTCACGGGGTTCTCCGTTCAGCAGGAGACCCTAGAGCCTGCGTCTAGGCCCCGCCGCCCTCCGCTGCCTCAGTGTGACTCTCGGGGCGGAGTGGGGGCAGTCAACTGGTCAGAGGGGCGGCTGCCCCCAGGAACACCGCAGTGGCCCCTCTGAGCCACCATCCTCTGGGTCCCCGAGGAGCTGCCTGGCTCTGCCCCAGGACAGCTGAGCCTGTGCCCTCCCTCGAGGGCCTGTCCACCACTCCCTGCCAAGGGGCTGGAGGCAATTGACTCTCAAAGGAATGTTCACGTAAAAATGACAACCAAATTTGGCGCTGTGGCACCCAGGCCCCTCCCCCAATGCCCATCCGGCCCTTCCCTGCCCCCAGTACCAGTTTGTGCCCTGTGGGGACAGTCCCGTGGTACTGGGCTTGGATGCAGACGTTAGAGTCTGAATAGGCGCAGGGCAGGAACCAGGGGGGTCGAAGGTCAGCAGGCTGCACCTCCAGGACCAGGGTGGCCGTGGCCGTGTGGCTGGGCTCCACATTCTCCTCCTGCGTGTCCTGCAGTAGGCGAACCCGGCCGGTCAGGCCTGGCGAGCTGGGGCAGGGGCGGCTCGGAGGGGGCCTAGGGCCTTGGCCTGCTCACCCGCGCCAGCAGCCGGAAGGTCATGTTCTGCCACCTGTAGAAGTCCAGTGTCTGGTCCAGCCGCAAGGCGGGGAGGTTGGCACCCACCAAGGAGAAGAAGTTACTGGCACCCTGGAGAGCCGGCAGGGGGATGGGGCTCAGCCCGAGACCCCGGGGGGACACGGGGATAGGGGACCCCCGGCCCGGAAGGAGGGTCTGGGATTGGTGCAGAGGTGGGGGCCACTGACCGGGGTCACCTCCTGGAGGGTATAGAACAAGATGTCATTCTCATCGGGATCCTGGGCCTTCAGTCTGGTCTCAGGGATGACAGTGGTGTTCACTTTAGTGTCCTGGTGGGGGAGGGGGGGGAGGGAGAATGGTCCAGTCGTGCCCTGCGCCCCAGGGACTGATCTCTGAGGCCAAGCCGTGGCCTCTAGCTCTCTGCTGGCCCTGGCTCCCCTCACCTCAGACACAGTCTCAACCTTGGTCACGAAGGGGAACTCGGGCACATTGTCATTGATGTCCAGCACAAGCACAAACACGCGCAGCTGAGTCACCTGGGGGGACAGGGTGGTGGTCAGCTTCCTCCCGCGGGTCCCCACCCCAGCGGAAGGCCACTCTGATGGCCCGGGGCACGGTCCACAGGGGCCGCAGACGGGCAGCACAAAGTGACTACAGAGCACACAAGGTGGCAAGTGTCCTGGAGAAAAATAACAGGGGTCCGGGGTGATGGGGGGAGGGTGTGGCCAGCAAAATCCCTAATGACAGCAGCGGGAAAGCAGTCGAGTTGCCACGAGAGTAATTCTCAGAGGAAAAGGAAAACAGAAAGGAGAACACAGATTGAAAGAGGCTTAAGAGGAGTGCCCGGTGGGCTTGGCTGGGGGAGCGCCGACTCTTGATCTTGGGGCTGTGAGTTCGAGCCCGTGTTGGGCATAGAGACGACTTAATAAACTAACAAGAAAGAAAGGGGACGGAGGGAGGGAGGGAGGGAGGCAGGAAAGAGGCTGGAGAGAAAGAGCGGCCGGTCTCATTAGGCGGCTTCCCTGGGGTCTTGACTCAACAAACTGGGAAAGACCCCACTGTGGGGAGAGGACACCAGGTGTCTTGCTGAGGAGTCCCTACTTCTTCCAGGTGACAATAACATGACAGTCATGTTTAAGAAGGGTCCTTGTCTTTTAGAGATTCATCCTGAGATACTTGTGGGTGGTGAGCCACGGTGTCTGTGGGGGGCACCCCCAGGCTTCCAGGACAGGGGACTGTGGGCCCTGCTGAGCAGGCAAGTGCGTAGGGCTGGGGCTGCAGCTTAGAACAGAGGGGTCAAGAGATGGTGGGAGAGGGCACAGGGCCAGCCAGAGTGGGGTCGGGGCCCGTGCACCCAGGCCTGCCCCCCACACAATGCACTTGGGCTTGGCCCTAAGGGAGAAAGCAGCTGGGGGCGTCCAGGACAGGGATGGGCCGCTTGCTTGACCAGCTCGTCCCACCATGACGAGAGTGGGCTGGAGTGGCCAAGGCCGAGAGGGGCGCGAGCAAACCAGTTGCCAGTTGGAAGTTTCTAGAAAGGAGATGCTGGTGGCCAAGGGTCTGGTCAGCTTAGAGTCCAGCATGAGGCAGAGCCACCATGTTTGCTGATAGACATGGGGAGTGAGCGGGGGCCGAGGGGACCAGCAGATGAAGTGCCTCCCGTGTGGGGGGGGGGGCCTGGGGGTGGGGGTATCCATTGGGGGTCTGAAGCCCACGGCTGCGTCTGGGCTGGAGGAAGTACGGGCGCCAACCCAGGAGTGACAAATGAAAATATGCTGCAGGGTGAGGTCACCAGGGAGTGGCCCTGGACCAGGCAGAGCAGAGTGCACTTATGTCACCGGGTGAGGGTGGCAACAGAGGGGACTGGGATACGGGGATGGGGGGGAGACTTACCACAGTGTCGCCTCTTCTGCACTCCAGGTGCGCCTGCAGCATCGTGTGGCTCTAGGGGACAGGCAGGTAGAGCTCACCTGCCCCGCCGACCACAACGCGCTGCCCCCACTTCACAAGCGAGGAGACAGGCCGAGAGGGGCAGGCGCTCACCCAGGGGCCCCGGCATCGATGCTAAGTCCAGAGGTCACTCAGGGCCCCCCCACAAGGGCCTCCCCCCAGGGTCTATGCTCCACCAAGACTTGGGGCCCAAGAGGGCTTGGTCATTGCCTGGGGAGCACAGAGCCCTCAGGATCCCTGGGAAGACTGAGACCTTGGGAAACCCGTCTCTGGGGAGGAGTGTGGGTGCCCGCACGGGTCCTGTGGAGGGTGAGCCCCCCAGCTGCCCCCACGGGGGTGCCCCGCCCAGGCCCACCATCTGCACCTCATAGTCAGGAGTCACGTTGAGGAACAGCTGAGTCCCCTGGATCCGAAACGCCGAGGGAGTGGACGAGGCCCCGAGGGTCACCTGCTGGCCGTCAGGGACGTAGATGTCAGCCAGGGGCTCGCTTCTGTTCGTGTTCTCCCGGACTTCCAAGTAGGTGTTGGTCACAGAGCAGACTGCAAAGTGGGACAGGGGGTCAGCGCCCTCCCACCGCCTGCCTGCTGCCGGCTCCACCCGCCCCCGCCCCGCAGGTACCCTGGGCCTGGGCCGTGGCCACGAGCAGCGGCAGCAACAGGGCCCAAGCCCCCATCTCGGCGGCCGTCCGCCAGCCGGACCCTCTGCGCGGCTGGCGCGGGTGCAGCCTCAGCCTGGGCGACCTTCGCCCCTGCCGGGCCCCGCCCCACGTTATGATCCCTCGCAGGCCACCGGCCTCCGCCAAGGGGGCTCTCGCCGGCCGCCTGGCCAGGCCCAGCCCACGGCCGGGAGGGGGAGGCCTGGTGGCTGCCCAGCTGGGCCACGTGCGGGGGCCACGGGGACTCCACTCACAGGCGCCAAGGCGTGAGGTGCAGCAGCTCAGCGAGCCGCCTGGGGCACCGTGGGCCTGGCAGGGTGGCTGGGGGCGTGGCCGGGGCGCAGGAGCCGGGGCGGGGGGGGGGGGCTGGGGGGGGCCTGGCTTCTGTGTTCGTTGTGCCCGCCACAGGCCCCCTCCCCCTCTGCCGGCCCTTCTGCTGGGTCATCTGGGAGCCAGGTTCAGACCCCAGGCCCACCCTCTCCTCACACCAACCACCTCGGTCTGGAGAAAAAGGCTGTTTGTGTCCTGGGGTTACGCCTGACTGTCTTGGAAACCAGCCATTTTCCTCCCAGCGGTGGGGCTGGCAGCGGGCATCTGGGGGCTCCCAGGCCCCCGTGGGTTCTGGCGCTTGACAAAGAGGGGTTCCTGGCAAGGCTCCTGGGCCCAGGCACCCAGCTGCCCTACCCCCAGCCCCACCCCCCCAAGCTCTCGGCAGCTGAGGACACTGGATGGGGACAGGAGAGGAGTGTGACCACGGGAGTGTAGCCCTTCTGGCCTCTAGGCCTGTGCTCTGCCGCTGCACCCTGGGGGCTCCTGGCATCTCTGCCTGCACCGGGGCGGGGGTGGGGAGGCGGCTACACGGCTTCCAGAGACACCAGCACTTCTTGGGGTGTCATCCCTGTCCCCATTCCACAGGCCAGAGTGGTCAAGCCACTTGTCCAAGGCCACAGAGCTTGGACCAGGAACCAGGACATACGCTTGGGTCTCTCTCTCTGAAGCGGACTCCTGAACGCCTCGGTGACACTCCTGTCACTTCTTCGCGCCCTCAGACTTCCCCCAGACCTGCTCCCACACAGCCCGCAGGGCCCCTGGGGCTGGAGGCCATGCTGTGCCCCCTGCCCACCCGGGACCCGAGTGTTTGCTGAGCGGATGACAGGGGTGCAGACTGTCTCGGGAGCTCGGTCAGCAGGACAGGAGAGATCAGGAAGGTGAGGGGCCCCGCTGGCTTCCCAGGTGTAAAGGGCAGCTGGGTGTGGCCAGTCCCAGAACCCGAGGCCAGGGCCCCGCAGGGCTGCCTCGACGGGACAGAGATGGCGCACCGAGTGAGCTCATGCACTGGCGTCTGAATTCCTCCTTTATTGGCGACAGGTGCAACCCCCCCTCCCCCCCGCCGCACCCCTGCTGGCCCAGGCTCCATGCTGCTCCCTCGCTGCTCCCTTTGCAGGCCAGGGGAGGCTCCTTCTTCCTCAGGGCCGCATCTGTGCCATCTCAGCAGGGGGCATGGCTGGCTGTGAAAATGTGGCCCCAGACCCGGGTCCAGGAGGCAGCTGGGGAGACCAGGCCTCATCCAGGGGCTCCCTCAGGGGCATCCTGTGGAAACAGCCAGGTCAGGGGCTGGACGCTGCCACCCGCCTGGCCAATCTGCCTCCTCGGCCCACCAGCTCCTCCTTCCCAGACCCCGGGGCTCCCTGGGGGGTCCAGTTCCTGCCTGGATCCAGGGTGGCCTAGGGGACGGGGGAGGGGCTGGGGCAGAAGCTTGTGCGAGGGCGGGAGCCGGGGCTGGCTGGAGGGGTGGGGGGCGGCGCTCACCAGGCCTGCAGGGCGGGCGAGTGGGGCCAGTGCAGGCAGAAGCGGCCCTCAGACGGCTTGGTCCAGCTCGTGCTGTTCTCTGTGTCCTGCTCGCTGCCCCCCACCCCAAATCGGAATTAGTCCTGGTGCTGGGGGGCGCCCGCCCCCCGCCCCCCCAGGCCGCAGCCCCTCACCTGCGCTTCCCCACCAGGCCCTGGAGCAGCCGCTGCAGCCGCGCGCTCTCCCGCAGGCGGCTGAGCTCGCTGGTGAACGTCCCATCCGAGTGGCGCGGGGCCCTGGGGAAGGGACGGCGGGGTCACGGGCCAGGCCGGGCGGGGGGCGGCGGGGGGCCGGGGCAGCGCGGGCGCGGGCTCACCTGGGGGGCGCGGGGCGCGCGGCGGAGCCGGGGAGCAGCAGCGGCGGCAGCAGCAGCAGCAGCAGCAGCAGCAGGGGCCGCATGGCCGAGGGGGGCGCCGGGGGTGCTGAGCTGCCGCCGCCGCCGCCCGGGCCCCGGCCGCCCCTTTATAGCGCCCGGGAGCAGGGCGGGCCGGGGGCGCTCGGCACCGCCCCGGCTCCGCGCAGCCCGGCCGCGCCCCCATCGATCGCGCTGGAAGGTCAGGGCCGCCCCCCCAGCTGTCGCCCCGGCCGGCCCGCCCGCCCTCAGCGCCGCGTCGGCGCCCCTCGGCCGGCCCGGGGGTGGGGGGTGGGGGACCCCCGGGGGCGGGCCTGCAGAGGGAACGGCGGGAGCGAAGCCTCGGAGCCTCGCCCGGACGCTCCTCCGAGGCGCAGCTGGAGGGCAGGGGCGCGAAGGTGGAGGCCAGGGCCGGGGGACCGACCCGAGGAAGAGGCCCGGCGGGCTGCAGGCCAGCTGGGGTCGAGCCCCCGGGCGCCCTGCATGTGAACTTTCCGAGGACGCACAGGAGGTGGATGTGAGGAAGGAGGGACAGAGGAAAGACGGGCAGTCGGGTTTCTCCTGTTAATCAATACTGGGATTAAGTCAGGTCCGGCTTTTAAAAAACAGGACTGCTGGGGCGCCCGGGGGGCCTCAAGTCGGTTAAGCTCCGACCTCGGCTCAGGTCATGATCTGGCCGTTCGTGGGTTCGAGCCGCGCGTCGGGCTCTGTGCTGACAGCTCGGAGCCTGGAGCTGCTTCAGATTTCATGTCTCCCTCCCTCTCCCTCTCTCTCTCTCTCTCTCGGCCCCCATGCCACTCGTGCTCTCATTCTCTCGCAAAAGTAAATAATCATTAAATTTTTTTAAAAAATAATTAGCAGACTTTTTAGAAGAGCAGCTTGAGGGTTACAAAAAAATTGAGCAGAAGGCACAGAGCAGACCCAGGCCCGGCGCCCCCGCCCCTAACATCCTGTCTTCACTGACGCATGTGCTACGACTCGTCCATATATTAGCTCCGATTACCTAAGTCACATAATTTACCTTAGTGCTGATCTCAGCGTATGAGCTAGGGCTTCCCCAGAGTGTCGCGGGGCAGTGCCATCGCCCCGATCTCTGTGTCCCACCTACTCCTCCTTCAGTCCCCCGTCCCTGGACTTTTTACGGACTCCACTGGAATGTTCCCTCGTGAGGGTGGGCCACATTTATCCATCCGCCTACCGAAGAACATCTTCGTGGCTTCCAAGGTGTGGCAATTGTAAATAAAGCTGTTATAAACAACTGTGTGCAGGCTTTTGTGTGGACATAACTTTTCAACTCTTGGCGGTAAGTACAAAGCACTGTGATTGTTGGATCGCACGGTCAATTTTGTAAGAAACTGCCACTTTCCCAATGCACCGATCCCACTCCTCTGGCCCTGAATGAGACACGCATCCTTGGTGCTGCTGTGTGGGATCTGGGCCGTTCTAACAGGTGTGTAGTGGTGTCTGCTTTCTTTGCATGTGGCTTTGCATGTGGCTGAGCTGCTGGGGCTTCTTTTTTTTTTTTTTTTTTTTTTAATGTTTTATTTATTTCTAGGAGACAGAGAGAGAGACAGCGTGAGCAGGGGAGGGTCAGAGAGAGAGGGAGTCACAGACTCCAGAACAGGCTCCAGGCTCTGAGCCGGCAGTCAGCACAGAGCCCGACGCGGGGCTCGAACCCACGAACCGCGAGATCATGACCTGAGCCGAAGTCAGACGCTTAACCAACTAAGCCACCCAGGCGTGCCGGGGCTTCTTCTTACGTGAAATTGGCAGATTAAAATCCCCTAAACCTTCACACCGTTCACAGATCAATCCCATTCCCAGGAACATGCCAAACTCCAAATACTGGGGTAACTGGTCAGATTTCTTAGCCCCCCAAGCGTTTAAGTATCCAGACATGTCTTCATGAGAAAAAGATTCCCATTTATAAAAAAATACACTAAAATTGAATTTTATAAGATTTATAGCAAAATTAACATACAGTAAAAAGTGAATTTTGACACATTTTGGTTCATGTAACCACCACAATCGGGACCCAGAACACCTCAACTCCATCACTCCAAAGACTTCCCTCCCGCTGCACCTTGGGTTGGGGGTCAAATCCTCGGCCCTGAGCGCCTTCGGTCACAGCTTCGTGAAGTCACAAGCCGTCACTGGCTCAGAGGGACAGGCGGAGGGCGAGGCTGCGGAGAAGCAGGCTTGTGTCGGCGGCGCCCCCACAGCCCAGCCCCCCGGAGGCCCCTCCCTGTGTCCTCACACACTAGCCGGCGCTCACGCGGACACGTGCCCGGCCAGCGCTGTCGCTGAGCCACGCGCCACGGGAACCAGGAAGGAGACGACCTGAGAAACGGGGCACAGCCTCACGCCTCGTTTCCCGTTTGGGGCTCTGCTTTGAGACACACAACGTGTGATACAGGCTACAATGGCAAAATGCCACTTTTTTTTTAAGATTAAAAAAGTTTTAAATAATTGGCCAATTTCAGGGTCCAGGATTCTCAGAAAGCAGCAGCTTCATTTCCCCAGCATGGAATGTGTGAGGTGGTGCGTTCCAGGCACAGCTGGGAATGTAGCTCAGGGTGCAAGCTTGCTGTGACACGGTTCATGCTCTGAATAAAGACCAGAACGCAATCTCTACTCCTTTTTTTTTTTTTTTTTTTTGGTTTGGTTTTAACCAAGATTTAAATGTCAAATTTAAGTCACTTATACTGCCGTTGGCTCTCATTAGGGGCGCTGAAGGAAAGCACCAAAGAGGGGTCTCTCTGGAACCTGCAATCCGCTACCCCTCCCTGCTGCCCTCAGCCCTGCAGCCGCAATGTCGAACCTGACTCTGGTTACGCCGGCTTGATGCTTTCAAGGCTATCAGCCTGGAGCTCACAGCGACATAACGTAACCTTATTGTGACCTTAATGAACACACCCTCTTAAGGACTAGGGAAAAAATAACTTTCTGAAAAATTATTACAGGGGGGCCCGGGTGGCTCAATGGGTTAAGCCTCCAACTTAGGTTCAGGTCAGGATCTCACGTTCGTGGGTTCAAGCCCCCCGTCGGGCTCTGTGCTGACAGCTCAGAGCCTGGAGCTGCTTCCGATTCTGTGTCTCCCTCTCTCTCTCTGCCCCTCCCTCCACTCATCCTCTGTCTCTCCCTGTCTCAAAAATAAATAAACTATAAAACATTTTTTAAAAAAGAATGTCTTAGCTATTTTGACCATTTGTATTTCCATATAAACTTTATGGCAACTTGCCAGGTTCTACAAGATACTGTTAGGGGTTGATAGAAACTGCATCACATGTGAGATCAACTTTAGAATGGTATCAACAAGGGGCGCCTGGGTGGCTCAGTCGGTTAAGTGTCCGACTTCGGCTTAGGTCATGATCTCGCGGTTCATGGGTTCGAGCCTCACGTTGGGCTCTGTGCTGACAGCCAGCTCGGAGCCTGGAGCCTGCTTCGGAAACTGTGTCTCTCTCTCTCCGAACCTCCCCTGTTCACGCTGTCTTTCTCTCTCAGAAATATTTTTAAAATACTTTAAAAATATCTCGGAAAATTGAAAAAAAAATTTTTTTTAATTTTTAAAAAATGGCACAAATAAAAGGACTAAGGTACCAAGGTAAAACTATAAAAAAAAAAAACGGGGCGCCTGGGTGGCTTAGTCGGTTGGGCGTCCGACTTTCGCTTAGGTCATGATCTCGCGGTTTGTGGGTTCGTGCCCCGCGTCGGGCTTTGTGCTGACTGCCAGCTCTGAGCCTGGAGCCTGTTTCAGTCTGTGGCTCCCTCTCTCTCTGACCCTCCCCTGCTCGCGCTGTCTCTCTCTCTCCTAGAAATAAATAAAAACATTAAAAAAAAAAATTTAAAAAAAACTATAAAAAAAAAAAAAAGAATGGTATCAATAACTGTGGTTTGGGTTGCATTTCCTCAATTGCTAATCATGTTGAACATCATTTCATGTGCTTCTTGGCTATTTCTGTATCTTCCTTGGAGAAACATCCATTAAGTCCTTTGCCAATTTTAAAATTGGGTTGTCTTTTTGTTGTTGAGTTGTAAGAGTTCTTTATATATTCTGGATACTAGACTCATCAGATATGTGATTTGTGGAGAGTTTCCTTTTCACTCTTGATAGTATCCTTTGATCCACAAAAGATGTTAAATTTAGGAAATCCAACTGTTCACTTGTTTTGTTTGTGCTTTTGAAGTTAGGTTTAAGAAACCTTGCCAAACTTAAGGTCATGAAGATTTGCCCCTCCACTTGCTTCTATGAGTTCTATAGTTTTAGATCATATATTTAAATCTTTGATCCATTTTGAGTTATTTTGTGTGTGTGGTGTGAGGTAGGGGTTCCACTTCACTGTTCTGCATGGGGACGGCCAGTTGTCCCAACTCCATGTGGGAGAAACTCTTCTTCCCTCCCCCATTGAATAGTCTTACACCCTTGGTGGAAATAAAGTGATTACAAGTGTGCAGATTTATATCTGAATTCTCAACTCTATTCCATTGATCTATATGGAATCAAAACCATACTATTTTGATTCCTGTAGCTTTGTAGTAAGTTCTGAAATCAGGAGCGGTTGAGTCCTACAACTTTGTTTTTCTTTTTAAAGACTGTCTTGGTTATTTGTGGTTCCTTACATACAATTGCAAATGAATTTAGGATTGGCTTTTCCATTTCTGTAAAAAGGGGGCCATTAGGGTTTTGCTAGGGAGCGTATCAAATCTGTAGAGCAGTTTGGTGCAAAAGGCCATCTTACCAACATGGAGTCTTCCAAGCCACGTGCATTGGATCTACTCATTCTTTTCTTTAATCTCCCCCAGCAATGTTCTGTAGCTTTCGGTGCACATACCTTTCACCTCCTTGGTTAAATTTATTTCTAAGTTGTTTTTTTGTTTTTTTTTTGATGCTGCTGCAAATGAATTATTTTCTTCATTTCATTTTTGGATTGTCTGTTGCTAGTGTATAGAAATTTTTATATGTTGATCTCATATCCTGCAACTTTGTTGGATTTATTTATTACCTGTAATAGGGTTAGGGTTAGGGTGAGGGTTTTATTCTGTTGGA